ATCTAAAATATTGTGATCAGGAGTTCAGACTTGTCTGATGCAAAATAGAAGTCCATTATAAGATTTCTTTAAGTTATATTCCTTTTTCAATACCAAAACCTTCAAGAATATTTTCTTTGACAAAATTACCTTTTTTAAAAAAAAAGGTTTTGCTAAATAGCTGTTGATTAGCTCTGAAACAGTAAGGGCTATTTTGAAGCCTTTGTGTAATAGACTTGCATTTGTGGTCTGTTATCAGGGCTCTTTCACTTTGACAGTCTGTTAACTATGCCAGAGCCATCAGTTAGTTGCCGAGGTTTTCCACTTAACCTTTCTCAGTGACATGCTTTTCTATTCGTGACAGTCCCTATGTAACCAAATCTCTCTACTGTTTTGCTGTAAAGAAACCCTTAAATTTTTCAGCATGGAGAATTAAAAATTAATAAGTTTGATTATTCATTGAGGACATGGAAATCTTTGCTTTCTAGTGGCACCAGTTTGTTACAGGGGTTGATACTTACCGTGTCAGGCCATTGCAGGCCTCTGCTTTACAGAAATAGATCCCGAATTCTGGCCATCGTCCAGGTCATTGTTTGCTGCAGTTGTCAGATCGGGTTTTGGTAAGGGTGAGGGAAAGTGACTCAAGAGCCAGTAAGTCTTGCAATAAGACAGGATAATGTTTTCATTATACTAAGTGCTCTGACAGTTTTACATATACACATAGTATTCCATTCTGAAACTCTTAAAATAGAACATAAAATTAGCCACAGCTTAATCTGTAATAATGCAGACTATTTTCTTAAATTTCAGCAGTGCAGTGTGAACTGATGAAAGTTCTTTTCAGAAAAGTTAAAATATATGTCTAAAATCTGTTTTGGCAGGGTTTGTTTTGTTTTAAGGGGAAAATGACATGTAAGCACAAAGAGACAAAATACTGTGTGAAATTAAAATATTGTAAAGCAAGTAAGCTAGAGCTTTTCCGCAAGGACAGAACTTTAAAGGTAAACAATTAAAATATCAAACTTAAAACAAACCCCGCCAAAACAAAACAAAATTTTAAAAAGCACTGTTGAACAGAGTTAGTATGGAGATCAAATTTGTACCAGTTCTTAAATTACAGAAAATTATTAAGGAAAAAATAGCAAAGATCTATGTTTCTTGCTGTTGTAAAGTGTGAAGAAAACTCCATTTTCTTGACAAATAGCTTTCATGAAGTGCTGAAAATCAGGATTTTAGTTTACTGGAACTATGCTTTGTATAGTAGAAACTTCAGTTTTTACCTCCCTTTGGAATATAGTAGTATCCCGTTTTTCCCTTTCACATTCTGAGGAACTTTTCCAACTACTTTATATGGTGCCAGATGTATTTCTGAGTCCTTCCCTCCTCCCAGTTTGGACATAGAAACAAGAACACAAGGAGTACATTAGTTTGTGTTAGTTACATGATCTGTGGTAGAAGAATATAAAGTTCTTTTGTTTAAAATTTAAAAATAGGAATGTATTGGAAGTTGTAGAGGAAAGTCCATTTCTGTTTAATCCCACTTCACATAAAAAAAAAAAAAAGATATGTGTTTCTTCTTAAAAAGACAAAATATTTAAGTAGCTGAAGCAGAGGAACAACTTCCTGCAATTCCCAGTTCAGGGCTGTCTGAAAAGGATATGCTGCTTGTAGAGAAAATTACTTTTACCTCTATGCAACATGAATGATACTTTGAGAGAGCATAGAGAAGAGACAGTGAGATGGTGTTGGAGAAAATGGTTATGACATGAAAGTTGAAGAGCAGTTTGTTTAGCTGATGACAAGGATAGAGGTAAACTGAATATTTTAGAGACATTAGGAAAAAAAACCTAAATCCTTAATTAAGGAAGAAAGCTATAACAGCAGTATGTAACTGGAAGTTTTAATGGTACAGTAATTAAGGAGAGCAGTATTATTTCCATGTATTACTCGTGTGTATTGTGTTCAGCATAGAGGTAGCTGTGAAAGGGAATGATGTGTTCAGGTGGCCAGATCAAGCCCTCTTAAGGTGTACATAATTATCTCCATGCTGTATCTGATATTTTTTGCCCTTCTTCTTGCCATAATTCATGTCAGGGTATTCCTAATGAATTTCAAACTTCTCAACAAATGCAAGGTTCCATATTTTTGCACCAGCAGCTTTCTGAATCACTATAGGTGTCCTTTGATCATGAGCAGATGTTCCCTTTTGCTGTAGGTGGCAAACCTGTCAGATGAACAACTGTTTTCCCTCCCTTAGGAGGAAAGCTAGTTTTCAGCATTAACAAAAGGAGTTAGTGGGCTTTTAAAAAAGTATTATTTTCAGATAATAAAAGAATAAAATTATCAATAAATAAAATGTTGTATTTTCTTCTATCTTAAGCAATAGTATTTATTACAGAATACGGTTGTTGTTAACTGGTTTCAATTTTTAAAACTTGCTTTTGATTTTGCTATCAAGTGTAGTAATCTTGGAAAGGAATCAGAGTGAACTGCATTTGCTATAGAAATTGCAAAGTCAAGGAATTTTTTACTCTCCTCCTACTCTTGCAAGCTAAAAATGTATTTTGAAGGTATGCTTTTAATGTTTATTGAGTATTAGTGGTAATAATACAGGTCTACCACTGCTCCTTCAAGCATTTTTTGAAGTGTTTGACACATTTTTCTTAAATAAATCCAAAACAAACAAACAAAAAAATTTTAAAAGGACAAACTTCTGAAGTTCCACTTCACCTTCTGCTGAAAGGCAGAGTGTCTTTCCACAGTACCAGCTGTGCATATGCAATTATGTGGCAAAATGACAGCCACTGTTCAGCTGGTTATGTAGACAAGCCTTCAGTTTGTTACCTGAAGAATTTAGGAATAGTGTCTCCAAATATTACTGACTGTTGTGTTGAGATTGAGTGTTTAAAAGAATACATTTGGTTTAGGCATTTGGGATTTTTTCTGTTGGTCTGCTTCAGTTGACCCATGTCTGAGGGAAGAATGAGAGGTGTTTCAGGAAACAAAACATTTAACATGCCTGCAAAAATGCAGCATTCCTGTGTTTTGATTGGAAGAGACCCTGTTTAACTACTTCCTATCCCTTTAATATTTAGAATTAGTATTTTCTGCAGCTTTGCATTGAGTGAACTATTCCACTGCTGTCTACATGCAATCCCTGTACAGTCCTATAAACATATGGGCTACAAGATATCTTCTGTCACCATTCTTTCTCCTGAAAGCCTCAATCCTTGCTTTCTTTTTTTTCTTTAATCCTTCCATCTCAAACTCTTGATTTTTCTTCCAGTATTTTCTTGTCCCTAGCCTAGGACTCACTTAGGGCTCTGTCCATGAGTGGAAGTGGTTATAATGGTAGTGCCTATGCTCTAGTCATAGTTCCATTTCGTGTGCATTTCCCTGAGGAAATGAAAATCATCATTTAGCCTGTTTGAAGTGGAATTGGTTTTTGTTGTCCTTTATCATTTGCATCTCTGACCTGTAGCAGTTCAGCTGCTGAACTGTAGGTGGTGTGGCAGTTTCTGCAAACTCGGGGGTTTGGTCAGGCTGCTGCTCTGGACTGCTGTTTATTCCTGCTGAGCTGCCTTGCTTGAGGGTTGATCTTGGATGCTGATATAGCACTATCTACTCCAAGAGCACCCTGGCTCTACTACAGTCATTATGCAAGATGTTGGCAGAATGCTGTGATACAGCAAAAATTAAATCTGTGTTGGAAACTTTTTTAAACAAAATTTATGTCAAAATTGAGTTAATAGTCCTCTAGAGCTATATAAGAAAGCATAACTGAAAATACACCATGCTTTTGGCTATTCTTTCAGTTCATTGTTCCTGACTTTATACTTTACCATTTGTATATCCAATTATGTGAGATGATAAAGATTGATGTCATTCTAAAAAGGATTAAAAACTGTGGTCCAATATAGAATTAGAAGGAGCTTTTTAGAATATATATACACACAGTGAAAGAGGGTGTTTCAGTGTATACAGCTGGTGAATGAATATAAAGGTTTTGTTTGCCTCACCTTTCTTCATGTTTTGTTTTTGTTTGTTACACATCAGTATTCTGAAAGAGGAGCGTTTTGTCATTTAAAATGCTGTCTTCCTCTGTGCTTCCATGGTATTGTTTTGTCCACCTAGTTTCTCAAGTCTTATGTAGTTGCATAACAGGACAGGGAGTGTCTAGATAGTGTGTACTAAAGGCTTGATTGTTTAAAGTGATCACTTTGAAATTAATCTAGATAAATCACTGTGTATTTCTTTATCGGGAATTTGCAGAAGACCGTCTATAGGGTTGTGGGAAGAGAGTCTGGAAAGCTTCCTGGGGTACACAAGTAAGCACATTCCCCTATACTTATAGTGATGTTTCTGCCTCAGGGTATCCCTGAGATCCCATCTTCTGATTTCCCTAGACCACACAATCAAAGGAGTGTCAGGGACCGAGCCAGACTAGAAAGTAATGTGTATCTTGGAACTTGGAGGGAGTAAGAAGGCAACAGTGGGAATCCAGTGCTGCTGTTTGCATCCTCCCAGTTTATCTATCTAAAGAGCAGATGTGTTCCTTGCTTAACATCCTTCTTTCTTTCTTTAGTACCCTTAGTTGTGCTTAGTAATTGCAGTTGGAGATTGTGATGTTCTTTCTGTTGTAGAGTTTGGGCCGTGTCATGAGCTTTATTTCTATTAAATTAACAATTGAAACCAGATTAATCTGTACAGTGCTAGTTCTGATGGAATTAGGGTTCATGACTGGCATTTGTTGGCATTACTGTCATGCAAACAATGGGTGTGCAAGAAGATGCTGCTTTCTGTTTTAAAATTCACTAGGCACTTATGGCATGCCATGCTGAATTTCATTAGCCTCAGTGTAAAGAGTGAAAACTTCAATATTTTCTTTAATTAGTTATTTATTTTAAAAACAGTATTTTTTCTTTTGAATATCTTCAGTTCTTACTGCTGGATAATGGTATGTAATGGTTGACTCTGAATATTTGAAATAAATATAATAAATGTTTTGTTCTGTTTTTCAGACAATGCAGAATCAATTGATCTCAAACAGTTTTTCGACGTACATTTTTCACATATATATTATGTGTTCTTTGAAAACTTTGTGACTATTGAAGTGGGTCTTAAACAAAAAGGTAAGTATTTCAGACAGAACTTTTTTTGTCTTGATGCTTGTGTCTTTGTTATGAAATAAAGCATGATGCTAAAAACAAAGCTCTGTGTGGTCACAAATGACATTATCCATGTAGAAATATGTCTAAGGACTAACTTTGCAAGTGAAGGGAGAGCAGTGAGAGATGCATTCAAGTGGAGGTGATGTTCTCCGATGACTGTGTTCACCCTTTTGCAAAGTGAGGATTCTTAAGGTGTTATACTTTATATTCTGCAGAATTAGTCTTTAACAAGATATTGTGTAACTTAATCTCTCCCAGTTGTGGATGCCTTAATAGGAAGTTATGCAAATTGTCGCTGCTATAAACTGTATTTGTGGAGTATAATTTTTATTTTGAAGAAGCAATGCAAAGTTATGGTTGTATAAAGACATTTAAGGATCTTTGTTTTCATAATGAAACTGCATTTTATATTTAACAATTTTAACTATTTATTTTTGCAACTAGGTCACAAGTCTCAGAGAGAAGAATTGGATTCTATTCTTTTTATTTTTGAGGTGAGATATTTTCAGTATTTTTTGCTTTAAGTCCTATTATTCTACGGTCATCTGTAAGTACATTTTGCATTTAACTGCATTCCGTCTTACTTTTGCATAGAGCTGAATTTGTGTTTTGTTTTAAAAATAAAAGTTTGACTTGCAGTTTTGCAAGAAGATGTCTAAAGTGGAAAAAGATGTTTTTGTGTCTCTTGATAGTTGATTGCTCTTTGGTAGTGGTATTTCACCATCATATGTTATACACATTGAAATTTGTAGAAAGGTGATCTCTGTTTAGTCATGATATTTTTGACCTTTGGATTGCATGTTATTTCTGATTTTTCTCATAATAGATTGCTACTGCAGAATTCTTTTTTATAGATCCTTTTAAAAAATATTCATTATTTGAAAATTGCATTTCACAATATTCTTTCCAAAAGCATATCTTGACTTAATTAAGATGAATTAGACACTAATGAAATAATTTAATAAAATCAGAATGCTTATAAGCAGATACTATAGTTTAGAAATAGCTTAGAATGTCAAGTTTTTGTCTTTCCTTTTTGATGGAGGCTTCTAATTATAGAATAAGGATTGTGTTTCATAAAAATGTGCAAGACTAAAAGCTGATCAATGCTTATTACATGGTTGTATGCAAATTCAGTTGTTATTTATTTATTGGTGAGTTGTGTTTGTGGATGTGAAAGAGAGCTAGTTCATTTGTTCAGTAGTTCCTGCATAAAGGAATATTAGGTGATCTGTGCTTTGGAAGCAGTTGCACAGTGTGCTGGTGGGCCACAGCCAGGAAAAATCAGGTTATTTACAAGTTGCAAAGGCCTCTTAGTGTAAATGTTGCAAGTCTTACATGGCAGATTTGGAGTAACTAACTTGCTTCTTGTTTCTGGAGACGACCATTCTATTTGTAGAGGTCTTGTCTTCACTGTTTTCCTACAGTTCATTACCCCTCTGTTGAGAAGGCTGAAGCACATGTTTGCTTGTGCCACAGAGGCAAGTTGACAGCTGAACATCCTAACTGAAATCATAAGAAAGGTGAAATAACTTAATGCAATCTGTTGTGAACCAGAGCAACTGAGACAGACACTGGTCCTATTCCATTCCCTATGCTGTAAGCAGCAGTGTGTGTGAGAGAGCTAGCGGAGCCAGATGACCTGCAGTAACATCTGAAGTTTCCAGTGCAGGACTTACAGACGGGCTGTCAGAGCCTTTGGGCTTCTTAACATTATGAATGGGGTCACCTTGAAAGGACAACAATGCTTCTAAAGAAAGCATTGTGGGAAATTTCAGCTTCTGATCTGTGGCCTTTGTGAAAGGGCTGTTTAGTCTTTCAAGAATGGTATCTGCAACAAACATCCTTGGGCTCTTTTTTTTTTTTTTATAGAAAATTTTACAGCTCCTTCCTGAAAGGATTCATCAGAGGTGGCAATTTCATAGTATTGGTAAGTTGATTTTCTCTCCCTCTCCCCCTCCCTCTCCCCCTCCCTCTCCCCCTCCCTCTCCCTCTCCCTCTCCCTCTCCCTCTCCCTTTCCCTTTCCCTTTCCCTCTCCCTCTCCCCCTCCCTCTCCCCCTCCCTCTTTCCTTAAAGCTTAAGTGGCTTAAACTTGGTCTAGAGAAATTTCCAAGCTAGGTGAAGGAAAATAAAAGAAACAGACAAAAAGCCCCGCTACTGTAATGAATACTCTTTTGTATAGATTCATATCTGGGAATATAGAAATAGAAGAGTGGCTGAAAAAAAAAAAAAAAGGACAGGTGAAAACTTTGGAGTTTTAAATATTTTTTTCCATATTTTCTTTCTTTTAGTAATGCATTTCAAAACTGACGTGTGGTATTTGTAACTAGTAAATGCAGATTTTTATGCATTGTGTTGACTTGATTTATTTTTAATGTACACATTTCAAAATCTTTGGGGAAAAATATTCTATGAGTAGGCTATGAGAGGTGATATTTGATTTTTTTTTTTCCTTCTGGCATTGAGTCAGTTGCTTGAAGGTATCAAGGTCACCAAGATTAAATTGGAGATTGCCAAGGACTTGTTTAAAAGTGGTTATCAAGTCTGACCGAGAACTCTGACATTTTACTTAATATAGAAATAACAAAAGCAAACAATTTTTTTTTTTTTTAGGGTTAATTTTAAAGAAGCTTCTTCACACTGGAAATTCATTAAAGGTACTGCAAAAAGTTGCATGCAATTTTGTCTACAATACTTAAAAGTACAAATAAGAACATAAGGGCAAAATTTTACAGTAAAAACCCAGGAAAGAGAACTAGATCTTGACTTGTGTGTCCTAAAAGAATGACTTCAAATCATCAGCTTTATCTCAGTAAAGCTACTCACAGTAGGAATGTGTTTATGTAGTGTCGCCAGCAGTTTAAAGGATTTTGCATTAACAAAGTAGTAAGCATTACTGTTCATTGTTAGGGCAAGGAAGGTGATTTTGGGGCTCAGGCTACCTTGGAAGTGGAAGATTATGTATGTCAGGGAGGCCTGCTGGTGGGTAGAGTACTTTAAATAGTTGGGACAAAACAGCTGCACCACTCCTTTGTAAACCACCTGCAGGCTTCTCTGGTACCAAAATTCTCCAGTATGAGAGCTGGGAAGGGAGTGCTCTAGGACTCTATTACCTTTTTTGAAGGAGAAATGGAAGAAGGTAGAATTGGTCCTTCTGGTGCAGAAAGCTCGCTCACTCTATTGTTACAGTTAATGAATATATTTAGAAATTTTTTGTTGGTCTTTGTATTATCTGAAAAACTTATGTGGCATCTTGCAGTGGTGTAGTCAAGCAAGTGATTCGATGTGTTGGTTTTGTTCCTCTTCTTTCACAGAAACCCCTGTGAGAAATTCTTTGAGGCAAACAGCAGTGAAGGTGCCAGGCTTGTCCTTGCATTTCATCAGGAGCAGCAGATGTGTTAGTTTTGCTCTGCTGATTGCTGGGGGTCATATTGTCTGTCCTCATTTTTTTTTTTTATCTCTCCCCTTCTCCTTCTTCCTCCAGGACAAATGAAAATGCTTTTTTGTTTGTTCTGGCACAAGATAACTTATTCCATGTTTTTTCCTTTAAGATACGTCGAGAGGGTGTGCGTCTCTTTCTTTTGTGGCTGCAAGCACTTCAAAATAACTGTAGTAGAGAACAATTATGGATGTTTTCTTGCTTGATTCCTGGATTTTCATCACCACAATCTGAATATGGCCCCCGAACACTAGATAATCTCATTAATCCTCCCCTTAATGTCCAAGAAAGTAAGTAATTCAGTAATATTACTCAATTCTTGATGTAATTCAAATCTTGTCACAGACAAGGCAAGTTGAAGTAACTGACATACATACCCAGGGAGATAATGGAGCTGAGTTGAGTTTCTTAGCAGCTTGTCAGGTTGTCTTCTGTAGCAATTTCTGTCTTTTTTGTTGTTTTTCAGAATCAGATGTTTTTTGTTGTTGTTGGGGTTTTTCCTTCCAAGTAGGTTACTGTAGCTTAATGCATAGGAGTGAAAATAAACTGACCAGTTGTGTATAATTCTTAAAAATTGCAAGAGGATCCTGCATCTACTGCAAACTTGCACAAGTGAATTTTGCTTGTGTTGAACACTTGCACTGGCTTTGTTCATAGTCCAGGGAGCAGGCTGTGCAAAGATGGCGTGGCCTTCAAGAGAATGCATGGTTGTTAGGCTAATGTGTACGACCAGGCAATTAAAGCTGTGGTATTCTTGCAAGTTGGAATCTTCAAAAAGGAACAGACTTTGTGAATTGCAAAACTTGATGCCTTAAAGGTTTGCATGAGTGGAAAAGCTTGAGCATTCTGAGATGAGGTTTTTGTTTGTTTTTGTTTTTTTAATGATAAGATCATTATCTTGGCCCTAATCAATAGAGCGAGGATGATCTTTCCCTTAAGATGATTCTTAGGGCTGCTTTTCCTTTGTACACTGTAGTATTAAGTGCCTTCTAACTCAATTTATTCACAATAGTGGGATTTGAAGTTCATTTATTAATGATTTGCAATTGGATGGGGTCTTTGAATGTAAGTGCAAACTGTGCATTCACATAAATGGGACTAAAAACTTCAACATTTTTCTCCTGAATGTTGTACTTCTTTCCATCTTCTCTTAGTATTTGAGTATTTTATTGATTGTAGAAGAGAGCAGTGTCTCCATGACTAGTAATGAAATTTGCTGGAACACAGCAGACAAATTTCATGGTAGGATAGCTCTGCAAGTAAAATTTTGCTACCTACTTAAACCCTTTTTTGGAGTTATCTTCTGAAATTCAAAGTGCAAAGATTGACATGTGAACATCTAACTACAGGAACTGGAAAAAAATCAACTCTGAACTAGCTTCGCTGTTGAGGCAAAGAAGGATACAGATAGTAAAACTTAAAGGAAATGTAACTGATTAACTGCTAAAGAGGAAAATGGTGAAAGATAGAAATAAAGATTTGGCATTTGTGTAGAGCAAGTGTTATACTATTGTATTGTATAGTATATTGTATTGTTTGCATAAATTCCAAAAGAAATTTTAAAAAATTTGGATTTCGCAGGTAGGTTCCAAAAGTGCATAGAGAAAACCTACTTACTGTGTGCTGTGCTTTTTATATGTGTAAAAAATTAGTTCCATGGTGGTTTAGATGGCAAAATTTCCTGATTTTCATTAATCTGTGGGTGGACTGTTTTACCTGTCTAAAGGCTGTCTCTGCTTGCTGCAGTGCATTTCTACTCTCATAACTTTGTAGATATTTACACATGAGGAGAAATAATCTAAATGTTAGATGTACTTCTATTTTTCTTTAAATAGCTCAAGTTACTCTAGAAGAAATCACTCCACTTGTTCCTCCACAATCAGGAGATAAAGGACAAGAAGATTTAACAAGCTATTTTTTAGAAGCACTTTTGAAATACATGGTAATTCAGGTACGTTCCATAATTTTCAAGCAAACAAGTGTGAAACGATTAACACCACTTTGTCCTTTACAGTAAGTTTTTTACTTGAAACACTGCAAATGTATATAAAAATGTTTTAAAGAGTCCTTCCTTGCCACTCTCTTTTTTGTAAAAAGCAAATTTTTTAGAAAAATGTTCCCTGTTCCCTTGTCTTCTGTGTGAAGATTCCTAGATCTTTTACCACAGGATCTTCCATCAGATTGCAGCAAATGGAGACAAAACAATACTTGTCAGTCACTTCTAGCAATACTGATTTCAGCTCCCTTCTCATTTTCATCTTTCCTTCCCTGTCCTTTTGTCTTCAACCAGTGGATCAGCTGTGTGCAGAAAATGAAGAGTTGAATGAGTATTTAGTCCATGGTGTGGTGTGCAACTCAGACACACCATGTTCTTCCCTTTGAAGTTTGATGATTCCATGATCTCATCCTTTGAGTAAGAAATTGAGAAGTAGAGGGGAAAGGAAAAAAAAAAAAAGAGAGGGGAGTCTTTCTTTATATTATTTATGATAGACTTGGTAGATCACCTAGCTCTGCAGGCAGATGGATTATCAGGAACAAAGATGGAAACTTCATGTTGTATTTCTTCAGGAGCACTTACCATGCTTGGTACTACTTACCATGTAGGAAAACATTTCATAAAGGGGAATGCTTAGCACTCATGGTCCATGAAGGTACATTTGCGTAACTCAACTTCAGAGTTGTATCTTCTGCTGCTTTTGGTTGAAAAATTCGTTTGTTTCATGTTGCCAATTACACAAATGAATCCAAGTACCTATTATAATGACTATATGGATACTTGTTAGTCAATATGTCTTAAAAGAATTTGTCAAAGAAATAATTTGAATGGCATGGGTCGTTACTCTTTTTTTATTAAACATTTTGAAATATAAAAACAGTTTCACTAAAAACAGTCAGCTTGGGTATACTCCTTGACTTGGCAAGATGACTGCAAAATCAAGTGTATTTCTGTTGGTTTCAGTATTTTATGTCTTCATGTTTATTTTGAAACAATATTTTGGAAGAGAGTGGTCTTGGTTTCATTGACATTTCCCAGCTAGTTTCTGTTTTGTCTTTTTAAAATTATTTATTAAAATATATATGATTTTGTTTCAAAGAAATAACTTAAAAAGAGGACATTTCATCAGTTACCTGTTTCTTCAACTTGTAGATATTTACTTTGTCCAAATTCTTGTTTTAAGGTTAAGAGTTTAGAATGGAAGAACAAGGAAAACCAGGAAAAGGGATTTTCATTTTTATTCTCAAATTTTAAGAAATACTACTTACCTTCTATTTTCCCAAACATCTGTAAGGAGACCAGCTTGTATAACCCTATACTTGGTAAGTGTTAAAACAGCTGATAAAAATCATTACATTTTATCTAGTAGCAATGTTATGATCAGATTTGTGAGAGATGCCTCTGCCCAAATTAAGGTGACAGCAAGACCAAATACTCGTTCAACAGTACTGACTTTTTTTTGTAACATTGACTGCATGGGGAAAGAAAAGACAGAGGGAGAGGGAGAGAGGGAAAAGGAGAGAGAAAGAGTGGAAGCAGAAGCTGGTCACCACCCGTAGATCCAGCGGTGTCTTGCTGGGCCTTCTTCACCCTGGGCTTGGTGCAGGTCCTGGTTTGTTCGTCTGTTATTAAGTAAGTTCTGTGCTGAAAGGGCTGCTGTGTCCACAAGGTCTGCTGTTGACAATCAAATCTTTTCAGTATTTATGCATTTTAGAAGCAAAGGAATTATTGCTTATTGGCTACAAGTAATATAATTCTCTTATTAATTAGTATTTTCTATTGGTTAAATGCATTGTATGATAATTAGTCTGCTTGTTCAGTCATTCTCTTCTTTTGGGATGGTGGGTTTCTTAGGTTGGTGATTCAATGGTTGCAGATCTCCCCCTGTGGTAGGAGACTTTTTACCCATTTGGGACTGATTTCATCAGAATTGCTGAGATGGTTTTAATAATAAGTTCTTATATTCTGCCAAATGTTCTTATGTCCCCTAAATTCTGCATTCTTTGTATCCACTAGTAGCAATACATTGCTCTTCCTAAGCTTTGTTAACCTCCCTCTAGGTCCTAGTACCTGGACAGCAGTATTGCCTTTAGACAGCCCAGGTTCCAGGTGTCCACAGAGGTGTACTTTGGGGGAGCTTTGGTGGCCATTGGTGGCCACAGATGCCGCCTGTCCCATTACTTGGGATGTTACTTCTTTGACCAGTGATATACATATAAACAAGTGCTTCTTGTCATGCAGTCTGTCACAGAGGGAGTGTGATAACCAGGATGTGCTAACCAGATCTTGCCTCTGTCAGGCCTGAAATTAGCACCTTCCTGTCAAAAATTCCTCCCTTCTGTGGCCTTAGCAATGTTTGAGACAGGTAATTGTGCTTTCTAACTCTAACAAGATGATACAGCAAAGCAGTTTTATCTTGAGTAGTTTTGCTCATGAAGGGCATTCTCCAAAGTATTTGTCATGAAAGGACATGTTAAGATTCCTGTTTATGATTTTCAGTTCTTTGTGGTAGCTTCTGACCCTTTCATTAGAGTCAGTCTTGCTCTGTTAACCTGTCTGAGGTAAATTAAATATTCTTATAAAACCTTTCTCTAATGTAACCATTGCTGATCTCAGTTGTGCTCTGAAGAGAAACTACTGCTGCCAAAATAAAAGGTGTTAGTGTGCTGTTCTCTGGGTATGTTGGTTTTATCTGTACAGAATCACAGTGTTTGGATGATACAGTGCTTGTTCACATTTCTGACAGGCAAAGTTAGGCTTTTTTGCCAACTGCATTTTATCAAGATCTTGCAGTAGGGAAAAGGAAGCTAGTGAAGACTAGCACAGTCTTCAAAGCTGAAGGTGCAAGAATGTGTCTTTCTATAAAGAGAGTAGAATGTTAAGTGTTTTCTAAGGAAACCTGAGTTTTACTCAGAGGTTTTAGCCAATTTTAAACCAGAATGTTGTTTGCAAATCTTGATTTTGTTCTCTCAGGTTTGTATGCACATGTTGGTTATTGGCCAATAGAGTCCAAGACTCCTCTTTGCAAAGCAATTCATTGTACACAGGCTTTGAGTTACCATTTCATCACTTGAGTCACTATTCCTCTTCTCTGTTGATGCAGCACCTTAGAAGGACTCTGCAGAGTAAAGATCGCCAGACACAATTCATTATTCTAAAATTGGACTGTCGGGGTAGCTTGTTGAAAAGGTCCTAGCTTCTTCTGGCCTGTGTACATTTATTTAGATTTGAGAGATGGTTGTGGCAAAGCTGTGTTCTCTTGGGAAAGACAAACACTGGACTTTCTCATCTACAGGAGAAGAACCAGTATAAATACAGCCATAAGTAACAGTAGAATAAGAATTATTGTGCAGATGCTGAAGAGATTGTGATAAAATAGCTACAAGAGGGACAGTAAGCAGTGCTGAGACAGCAAACTACTGTTGCTTGATGCTCCAGAACAAGAATTATGGAAATGCTATTTTTCTCTTTCTGTGAAGATCTTGATTGAGTCTTCCATATAAGTGTTACTGTAGTCCTCTGTTTTTATGTGAATGGTAAACAAGAAACTTCCAAGGCCTTAGTAAAGAAGAGGACAATGGGAAGCAAGAAGAAATGTGCACAGATGCCAAGAATTATTGTGACTGCCTTAGACTGTAGACAATGAGCAACTATAATGAGGATTTTTGGAACAATACAGTGATGAAAACAACCTAAGTATTGGTAAGTTGAGTAACTTTTTCTCCAGATGTTCTTCTCTGGCATGCATCTTTCCAACCTATTTGAAAATAATCCTGTCCTTGTTCTTAATTTACAGCCTTGAGGTAGAAAGCAGGGCAAACTTGGGCACTGAGCCTGCTACTAAGAACAGTTCTCATGCTACTGGCGTGATCTTTAATTTAGGAGAAGTCATGAGGTACAAATCAGAACAGTAGTTTTAGTAAGCCAGCATTGATACAGAGCTTTACTGGAGACAGTATACTGGACTGAGATTTCTTTCCTTCTTTCCTGATAAGTATGTTACCTACAGCAACAAGCACCAAGCAGTCCAGTTACGAGAAGGCTAAGTATTGTGGCTCCTTCAAATTCTGGCTTTGGTATTACAGACTTAGAAGAGGAATACAGCATTAGAAAAGCCCACGAGATTGTTTTTCGAGGTGTTTTTTGTTTTTTTTTTTTTAGTTTGGTTTGGTTTTGTTTAATTTCTTTTTTTTTTTTTTTTTGTTTTTGGTTTTTTTTTTTTTTTTTTTTTTTTTTTGCCTTAGTGTTTATTTTGTTTGTAAAATCTTTGTTAAATATCTGTTGAGATGGAGTTAGAAGTTGTTTAGTAAGAGCTACAGATATGGCAGTAATATTCCAGGAGCATTGCTTGTTTCATCATGGTAATGTGACTTTCTGTGCCATCTCCAAGCCATTTAGATAGTCTCCTTCATTTACAGGGAAACAGTAATGTGGGCTGTTTCTACAGCTGTCTTAAGCTCTTTATTCCTATGAACCCTTTATTGTCTTAAAAATTAAGCATGGTCAAAGCTTACAGGTGTGCAAGTGTATTTTTGCTAGCCTGTTCAATTTCTACCCTATGTATATCTTCTACCACCTTCAGCTTCCTTTTCTTTTTGTGATCAGCTCACATCAAGTTCCCAGACGGGGAAGGGCAGGGGTGGGGAGAGCCCAAAACACAATGGAAAGAAAAAATAGAAAGCTGGGGGAAGGGAATATTTACTCTTGTGCTGTGTGAGTCCATCTAACAAGCTCTGTTTTGCTTTGGTTTTATGTCTGTGTTCTCATCTGAAGCCTTGATTTCTTCTTCCAAGATGGACAGAATTTGAAAATACTCGAAGCAGCTGGAAGGAGGATACATTTGAGAATCTACTGCAGCGCATCATGCAGTTGAAACAAGTTATAAAAAGAGGATGTTCTGAGAGGTTATCATGAAACGAGGAGGAGACTGTGTACTGCAAAAACATGTTTACTGCATGTTTAGTCCTTCTGAAAATACTGCTAGTATTGCACCCTTTGTGCTCTGCTGAATGCTAGTAGATACCAGAGAACTGACCTTTCCATCTTTAAATGCTGTGCTACCAGACATTTGCTTCATTTTTCACAGATTGTACTGTTACACATGCTTGTTTAAGATACCTTAATTTTTAATTTTCTTACTAACCTGCTGCTTTCCACAGATGAAAACAATGTACTGTGGTTTTATTATTTGCAATAAATAAACCATTTGTAAACTTGTCAAAGAGTATTCTGTGCATTTCTTATGTATTTAGGTAGATGGTACTCAAGAATCATGGTTTTTTCCCTCCAAAAATAATGCTTCCATTGAAAAGTGTGGATGTAGTTTTGAAATTTGTACAGGAAAATATTCCTCAGTTTAGCAGCATTGTGATGGCTCTGTCACTACTTTTGTATGTGCCTTTTAAAAAGACACTGAGATACGCCAGTGTGGATATTCTCAGTGCAGGTGCTGGATCTTGTGTATTTGTAATGATAATTAGGAAATCTTTACAACGGTCTGGCAGATACACTTTAGATGCCTTAAAAAGGCTGTCATAATATAATTGCTAAGACAGTAGTTGATTATTTCTTCACTGCTGTCCAGATTTGTACCTCTTGGATTCTAATGTCATAAACTGGCAAAGTTACACAGGATCCTTTAAAACAACTCTTGACTTTGTTTTAGGAAGATAGTCAGGGAATATCTTCATATTGTTCAGTATGACTTTTTAAAATCTTCTTTGAGTCTCATCATTAGTATCCTTTAATTGCTTTCTGGTTGGCTTGTTAAACCATGAAAAACTCTCTTGCTCATGTACTGCAGGCTACAGAAGAGTTAAAGCAGTGCTGACATAACTGTCTGTTTAATCTGTCACTCTCTGTATATGGATAAGACCATCATTTTTCCATGTTTCTTTCTTTTTATTAGTTGGTTTTTTGTTTTGGATTCTTGTTTATTTTGTGTTTGTTTTGTTTTGGGTTTCCTGGGGTTTTTTTGCTGTCACTAGGTGGAAATCTTGATACTGAAACTCTAGCATCAGAGTGTCCTGACAGCACATATCATAATCAATCCTCACCCAAATATTTGTCTTCTTCTTGTTTTGGGGTATACCTCATAATTGTCTTTATAAGATTAGGACTATGGTGGGTTGGCATATCACTTTCAGAGAAATGTAATTTGCACATGAAAGTATTGTTGCTGCTTCAGGTTGATGATGGTAATGCAGAAATATTCTGCACCATGTCTTGGGCTGGAAATGACATTTTGCAATGTTAAGTCACAGAAAAATGCACAATTAAAAAATGTTATCCATGTGTCCCCCAACTTTGTAGTGCTTTTACCACATATGTTCATTCCCTCCACATGGAGCTAAGTACTGTCATGGTTTTGTTCTGAAGCAGATTCAGGAGTACCAATGACTCTAGCACAATAGAGAACCATAAAAGCTAAACAGTTCTGAATCATCATGGGATGGCAAAAATGGAGTTGTCAGTTCCAGTCCCCAAACAATCGCAGTTCCAGCCAGCTGATGTGCCTCTGAGCATCCTTCATGACATTCCCTGCAAGCCAGTATAGAAGCTATTGCCTCAGAGTCATCTTGCAGCTAAGTCATAGGAAAATGTACATGCCTATGGTCTGTCAGCAAAGACCTGCAAAATTAGCCACAGCGAATGGGGCCCTAGGTGAAGCTGCAAAGCTCATGTGGCTTTGGAGCAGGGTTTCTCTGTTCTATTCGTCTTTCACCTTTTGCAGGGCCAGAAGGGGCTGTGTTTATTGCATTTGCATTTTGGAATTATATATCTCCCATTGTAGCCATGATTAGATTTCTCAATATATTAGTTTTATATGATAATCATCTTCTTGTATAGCTCATAGTCTAGTTGACAGTTATTTTGCTACTTGGAACCTTGTAGTTTTCAATGAAAATTTGAAGTAGTGAGTTTGCTGAAGTTGATCTTTAAATATTGAATATAACATAGTTTGAAAGAACCTGAAGATAATGAAATGTGTTTACTTATATAGAAAAAAATGTAAGCAAAACCATAAGGCTATAGAAATCACTTTCAGATAAAAAATTTAAGTTTCTGTATAGCAGAAATAAGTTTACGTCTTTTGGACCAACAGTGTTGTCTCCCTTCAGGAGAAAATTCAAGTGTTTTGATGTCTTACAGTTCCTGACATTTTCTCTGTTGCATCCATTCCAGCGCATCTTGGAATGAGTAGTGCAACAGTGAATGCAACAAAACTACACCTCTAAAAGTTCACATGTGTTGGTTATGGTTCTAGGATTTCTTTCTTATGCAGATCTTTCTCTCTGCACATATTTTTAAGATGTTGTATTTTCACACAGATATACCACAAATGAGACCAAAGCCACACTACGTAATAGTTAAGAAAGATGCTGAAACCAATGAGGCAATCTATTGCACAAAGGAACCTTTCATTAAGGCTCGTGTTATTGTCATTCGATGGTTGGTGTCTTTCTGGCTTGAGCCAAAACCACATACAGGACCTCATATTCCTGGGATGGAGGGTGAAAATGTGCCAAAGAATATTCAGGTAAAACCAAATACACAAAAATATATTTGTTTTCATGTTTTTGTTTTAATTGTCATGTCAGCACTATGCTCTTCTCCAATAATTACGATTAATGAAATGTTTTTTTGAAAAAGTAATTTCTAAACAAATTGTATGTTTATTAATTCAGTTTGAAAGGACCTGCAGTGCTGCTTTCTTTTTTCAAATTTTGTATTTTTAATCAACTGGACATTAGAAACCTTGAAATGCAGTTAAGTTCTTTTATTTGTTTGTTTGTTGTTTAATTCTTTGTGCTGTTTAAATTATACTTAAATTGTATTGATTTATTGCTGTACTAAAAATGAATTATCTAAAATTTTTTCTCAGAGAGCAGCTGCTAGCATGGCTTCAAGGGAGGACAGCAAAAATGACAGTACTGATAAGCAGGATAGAAATGCAGAACCGGAGCAATCTCATTCTAATACAAGTACTCTAACAGAGAGAGAACCAAGTTCTTCCAGCCTCTGCAGTATTGATGAAGAGCATTTAACTGATATTGAAATTGTCCGTAAAGTCTTCTCTTCTAAAAGAAGCAATGTTAATTTTCTAACTGAGATTTTTCGACAGGTAAAAAACTCTCTTTAGAATGCAGGAATCTTGATTATTTTATTGTATATTTTCATTATGTCATGATTTTCTTTCAAGAGCACTTGTTAAGCAGAACATTATACCAAGTTACAGGTTTTTTCTGTCATCCTACCTTCAAAAATCAAGAAACTAACATTCTGAAATGCAACTAGTTCATTATTTTTTTAATTTTATATCTGTAATAACCAGTTCAGCAACATTTAACTTGGACTTCACATTTCTCTATAGATGGGAATGTTTAATCTTTTCATACATCAACACTGTATGTATTAGAAATCACAGCCAACCATATTAACATAAGCCTCCTGTGGGAGTCTGCAGCTGTTACAGAGCTGTTTAAGAAGCATCTGAATGTCCTTTCCTTGATAGTGCTCATCAGAAGAGTAGGACAGATGGCTATAAAAGTAGCAGCTTCTGTTTCTGACTTCACTGCAACCAGAAATGTTAGCTGAGCATACTGAGAATAGTATTTCTCTACTGGAAACTATTAAAACAAGTTTAAACTGAGACCATATGCCCGAATATGGAGTTTTCATTAACAGTAACTTAGAGTTCAGTCTGGGAGAGCAGAGTAAGATAAACTTTCTTTATGTCCCATGCTATAGACCAAAAGATGACACGAGTTTTCTGAATAGTAGTAAAGAAAGATACACTATGTTTCAAGTTAAATGCACAGCATTAATTGCTTTAAACAGCAGAAGGCTGAACATTTAAAAACTTATCTGGATGAAGTAAAAATTCTTGAATGAGGCAAATAAATGTCATAAGCTTATCCATATCCCTTGTATTCAAGAGTTTGGAGGAGCTCATTACTGAAGGACATAGCAGAGTTCCCTAAATTCAGTTGACACTCAAGGGTTTACAGAGTCTGAGAATGTAGAGTATGAATTATATTGGGCTACTTTTCACTGTCTCCACAGGGAAAAGCAGTGAAGGCAATTTTCTTCATTCTTTTTACAAGTCACTCTGTGAGTTCATGTGGATTATTTGGATTTCATGTGCTATTATGAAATCTTATATACATAATTATTTAGCTAGGAGTTTTCAGTGTCAATTAATTTTAATACACCACATCTTTGTAATGTTTCTAAGACATGAAGACTAAGTTACTCCTGTCAAGAGGAGGTTTCAGTGATGCTGAGTGGTGGAAAGATTGTCTGTAGAGAACAATTTTTATGCATTTTAGACTTGAGGGTACAAAAAACCATATATGGACTTGCAGAAGAATGTTAGACTTGATGAGGAAGTTTATGACTGAACTTGTCAGTTTAATTCTGTAATACACAGCTGAATTCTTTTTATTGTGATAATGGTATGGAATCTCTGTTTCCAAGAGTGAACATACTACCCTCCTTAAAGACATGGGCCCTCCTTAAAGACATGAACAACTAGTTTTCAGCAGTCACAGCACATACCCTGTAAAACTGTGTTTTAGTGTAGTTTATTTGTTCTTCTGAATATATAATTAGGCATCATGGTCTTTGGTAAGTGTATTTGTAGTTAGTTAAAATCTGACATGTTAAAAGTTTCTGGTCTATGACTACTTGTTACCAACACAGCCAATACAGAAAAGCTTCTGAAGAGGGCACTGATCAGCCATCACGCCAACTCAAATGCATGATTTTTACAATAATACTGAAATCTTTTCAGGGAGTAATTTGCTTTAAGGATACTGTTTGTAAAATCTTAATTAGCTAAAAATAAGATAGAACACTACCAGTATTGTGTGTCACTTGAATTTTTCTTAGTCATTGAAAGCTGGTTTAATTCCACTTTTCCAAATCCTCTGAATGGAAGATGTTGTACTAGAAACCTCTGTTCATTAGTTTACATATTTTGATGCGTGTTTGGGTCTTAATTTCAACAGCCTAGGTGCTAACTAGATATGCCCACATGGATTCTTATGTCTTTTGAAGTATTTCTTTATAAGCTTTTTTGTTTAAATGTGGAGTTTTTTCATGTTTTAAGTTTACATATGAAGAAAGTGAGCAAACATTTAGGTTTGGCAATAGTTTGTATGCTGGGATCCAGCAGTGGGTGTCTTTTTTCCACCTTTATCTCTTAGAACTTGTACATTATAGAGCCCAACTTATTTCAAATATTGTAACAGTATTTTGTTTCTTTCTTTTTCTACTTGCAGGCATTTCTGTTGCCAATATGTGAAGCAGCTGCCATGAGGAAGGTGGTGAAGGTGTATCAAGAATGGATTCAACAAGAAGACAAACCTTTATTTATGAAAGAACCTGAAGAAATAATGCAGTGCACAGCTGTAGATTCTGATGAAAATGTTGACCATACTTCATCAGAGAAAGGAAAAGAAAGAGAAGAGGTAAAATATTATTAGTTAATATTTGTGCATTAATCTGCCAGTAGACAGACAAGTGGTTTCCTTGTTGGTTTATTTGTGGTTTTTTTTGGTGTCAGAACATTTATTGGGAAAAATCAATGGTAAAACACTATATGGACAAGCTACCAATTTTATCCATTATCTGTAGTTTTTTAATGTGCTTAGTTCAATTTAAAATTTCATATAATTTTATGAACTGTTTTCAAGATGTGAATTATACAGTATACCAACTATTAACTGTGTAAAAATTATTTACAAATAAAAGGATGACAAAAACAGTTACTTCATTCAGGTACTTCAAGATAATTGCTACAAGCCTCATGAAATATTGTTGTGTCTCAGGTGCATTTGCCTACTGTTGTTTATTATTAAGTACCTATTATATCCTTTTTCCTTTAAAATAAAGCCAAAATACTTGTCTAAAACTCTGTGGAATTGTAAGAAAAAATATTTTTCAGGAAAAAGGGATGAACTCCAGTCATGGAGTTAGAAATTCAAACTGGACAAGAAATGGCTGTTATGAAGAGGCTTTGCATAAAACATCTGAAATTGATACTGAAGAGCAAAATGTACGAGCTGGAGTGCAATCAGTATTGCAGGTATGAAACAGACTTGGTATTTAATTTTATCTAAATTATCTATCTAAAATTACCTAAAATTCTTATTATCAGCATGTAAAGAGTGGAATGTAGTGCAATACTTCTGCCAGGGAATCCCATACATCTCTAAAGCATCTCTAAATTTTAAAATTATTTTATATGCAACAAATGTGATGATAAATGTTAGACAAATTACACTGGTTCACTATATCTTTCTTGACCTGAAGTAGGACAATGTACAGACCTGTGCTGGGTGACACAATAAAAAAAGAAAATATTTTCATTTTGCATCAGAACGTGCATTCTTCTGTGCATTATATTAGAGAAAAAATAATCCTCATGCTACTACAACATCTTCAAATAATTATAATTAAGCTTTTTATGAGAATATTTAGAGGCTTTTTGCTTTCATGTTGTTGGTCACAAAAGCCAAAACATCCAATCCTGTCGTTTTTCTAGTCTGATTAATAAAGTGCACATGGATATTTTTTCATCTTTTTCTGAATGTGCATCATGTTTGAAAAGTTTGATGAGGTGCCACAACTCTCTGGTGATATCATTAAGGAAAGCAGTTGTACCGTAACAGAAGTTTTTTAACAGCTTCTAAGCAGTTTGACAGGGTAGAAATCATGTTAATTTGAAATGTTTAGCAAAATGCTTCACTGAAGGTGAGGCTGTGGAAAATTGGGAGGATGTAATTTGAAGGTCTTTGAAATGCTCTTACGGTTATCAAGTGTGTGCATTTTATGTATATGTGTGCGCACATACATTCATATAGGTGGGTATATGATTAGCCTCCATAATATTCTTATATTCAGCAGAAAATTGATTCTGAACAAAATAAAATAATGTGCATTTACCACTTTACTGTGTGCACTTCTACTGAGTGTGACCATGTTAACTAAATAAAACTCATTTTTACTACAGCTTGGATAATTTTATAAATAGGGTTTTCTTTTGTGCTGTACACTGTTACACATATAAATAAACTTTATAATTGAAATCACTTAATTTCAAATGCATTAAAATAATTTATGCTTCATAATCTTTGTTTTCAACGACTTTTCAGAATATGAAATGTTACTGAGAAAAGAAATACAAAGTATCTGTGTCTGTTTGCAATATACTACTAAGGCTTACACATCTGACGATGTCTTGAAGATTATTCATGTTGAAGTTTTTTAGACAAAGGTTCATTTTACTACCAATATCTTTTTTTTTTAGCCTGAAACAGAGTTGAGACATCATTCTAACCCAGTACCATGTCTCAGTTTGAGAGATTTCCTGACCTGGGACCATGTTTGATTTTCCCTGTGAATCAATAATCCAAGACTTCTGTCTTGAGTTTTTTTCCCATTTAATGCTTGCATAGACTTATTTCTAGGCATTTAGAGTAGGTTAGGTTCATTAGTTGAGGCTAGTGAATGTAAAAGTGCATACTAACAGTTTTTAATTATTAAAAATCCAAAGCTTTCAGTAGAGGAAGTTAAAACTTTAATATCAATGACTTCCTGTACATGTAGAAAATTAATTGAAAATCTAGGTCTGAGATTCAAATGCTTTCTAAACTTACATAAAAATCTGTTAACACTTCAGTAACTGCTTCTGTAGCTCCTACAGTGTCCTTGCCTACATTTTTTCATAATTTTCATTATGAAAAATGAAGGCCCTAATTCACTGCCCACTGAAGTCAGTCAGTTTCGGGAACATGTCCAGTTTCCTACTTTTGGTAAGCCTTACTGATCCCAGTGAGATGAATGCTTTAATTTCCCAGAACATAATATAGGCTGTGTCGTGCTGAGGCACACACTATGTACCAGAACTATTTCAAGCAGTTTACCATATATTGTACTAGTCAGTTCCTGGCTTAGAGATGGAACTTTTGTGCAGTGGACTTCTTACTGGGACATATTTGTCCATCATATTAAACTAATCATATTGAGAAGTTTGTTGAATCATTTGTCTATGAGAGCAAAAATATACAAATAGGTTTTGTAGAAAAATATGAGGAAAAGATCAGTCTCATTGTTGCTTAATCATTACTTCAAACTGACATATTTAAATGTGAACTTCTGTGTGCATATGCAACTTTTTTTATAAAGATTTTCTGTTATAGATTTTTTTCTACCTGTTTGTATCAACTGAATTGCTGAAAACATCAAAGTGTTTCAGGATCATCACATCCTCTTTTTTCTGCTTACAGGTTTTTATAATAAATTCTTCAAATATATTTTTTCTTGAACCTGCAAATGAATTTAAAGCTCTGCTGGATGAACACACTGATATGTGCAAACGCGTTCTCAATATCTACCGCCACATGGTAGTCCAAGTGACTATGGACAAGAAGACATGGTAAAATGCCAGTGCTTTTATCTTAGATTATTAGTTCACAACACAAATCTGAAAATTTACTTGGTAGTAAACCCTGTAGAGTGGTATTGGTTATATGAACCATTTCCTCTAAATCAGTAAATACACAAACTTGAACACTACAGCCAACTTAGCACAGAGGAAGTTAACTGCTTTCTTAAAGCTTCTTGTAAGCTGCTAGTTAATTTGTGACAGCTTAGACCTCAGTTCATAAAGGATTGAGCTGGGATATACAGACTGTTACTAAGGAGCTACTGATGATTTTTTGCAGGGCATTTTGCTCATGTATCAAAGTGTTAAAATATTGAAACATATGAAGCTTCACAGCCTTATATAAAAATAAACACAAAAGCACCAGACAAGCATGGATAATTATTAGAATCAGATGTGTGTTGTTCCTGACCTGTAATTGTATAATTGTATACAGGAGTCTGTGTACTGTGTAACTGTGTTATGCCTTTCCAGTTCTTATGGTGCCTAGCAGTTACAAGAGATCCTGCTTTAAAAGAATTTCTGTTATTTCCCACTCCTTTAAATAGTAGTCTGTAATCAGGTACTATATTGTCACGATTCTCCATTACAAGGAAGAAGTAGCAAGGGGATTTCAAATGTCTGATTTATTACATTTTAACTCGACTTGCATTCAATCTGTCCTGAGCTCTGGGTAAGTAAAGCTAGCACTACGTGTCATGTGAAACTTGTCTCCTCTTCTGAGGAGCCAACTTAGCTGGCCGCTGGGAAATCTGGGAGTGATAATAGTAAACAGATTCTGCTAGATTGGTATTTTGTTTTCCAGTTTCACATCAATGTAAAGAAGTGACTCTAGACCAGAATGGCAAAGATTGTGCCACATAAAATAACTGGTGAAGTATGTTAATGATAATGTAAAATTACCAAAACCTGTAATTCATAGAAAAAAGAAAAAGCTCAGATTGAAAATACAGTTAAAACTTTGCCTCGAATTTCAGGCCATTGAAGGTGATAGCGGTTGAATTCCTTGGAAGAAGTACTCACTCTTAAGTGTGAAAAAAGATTGGAACAATTTCTTTTGCAATAACCAAATTAGGATCTTTGTAATCATTGTGACATTTTTGGAATGTGTTTGAGCAAATAAGGCTTGGTTATTACCTTTAAAAATACCTTGGTATATACAGAGGTATAACAAAATGGTAACTCTTAAGTTTAATATTGTTTTGCAGGGAGCAGATGCTACTTGTGCTGCTCAGGGTAACTGAATCTGTGCTGAAAATACCACCCCAAACTTTCTTGCAGTATCAAGGAAGAAAAAACTCCACTTTAGCTGGAAGACTTGCAGGCCCTCTTTTCCAGGCAAGTAAACATAAATTCACTTTAATTAATTCAGCCTGTCATTAACAGATTGGATAATAGCAACCACTGTTGGCTAGTTTGTCATATCACTGGTATGTTACCCAATTAATGTGAATGGTGCGGGTCAAAGAGCTGGTTACATTTTTTTACTTTCTGTCTTGTATTTTATTGACACCGTGACAAAAGTATGTCAGGCACTGTAAAATTCAAGAATTTTACAGTGTCAAAGATAACTGGCAGTGTGTGCAGTTTTATCCTGCTGTCGTAGCAAAATAAGCTCAAGTCAGCATGAAATCTTTTGTGTTATCCATGACTAACTGATGGATTTTTTTATTTCTTAAAGAATTCTGTAATTATTTACAGAAAGCTGTAGCAAATCCTTTCAAAGTTAATAGCTGCAAAGTGCTGTTGTGGTGAGTTCTCAGTGACCAGGATTTGTAGAGTCTCCAGTTACTTTAGCAGAACAAAGAAGAATACCCAAGATAATGGGTCAAACCAGTTGTTCCGGTATCTAAGTCAGAACTCTGTGTTAACATTTGATAATTCATTAAAATTCTGTATGTATTGGTGAGGACTACACAGAAATTCCTGTGAGGTTTTCTTTGGAACAGTAACATTTGAATTTTGTCAGCTTCTGCTCACAGTGCAACTTTTCTCTGTTCTTTTAGACTCTTATAGTAGCTTGGATCAAAGCAAATCTAAATGTGTACATTTCTCGAGAACTTTGGGATGACTTGCTGTCAGTAATGTCATCACTGACATACTGGGAAGAGCTGGCCACTGAGTGGTCACTGACAATGGAGACACTTACTAAAGTATTAGCTAGAAACCTGTATAGCCTGGACCTCAGTGACCTGCCACTGGATAAATTAAGTGAGCAGAAGCAGAAAAAACACAAAGGCAAAGGTAAGACAACACTGTATGGACATAATTTGAATTTGAACCACTGTTGGGCACAGGATAATTTTGGTCTTTTTTTTGTATACCTAATTAGGCATCTCTATCACCTGAAATAACCCTGTTTCTTGAAAGTAAATCTGATTTTAGAACTGCCACAACATGATCATGTTATTTCTGCAAATAGGCACATATGGAATGTAGTTCTTAAAAGTGCGTTGAATTTAATCTAAAATGTTACACTATAGTGGGTTATGCCTTTCTCCTTTTATCAAAGCAATCAAATAGTTGAGTCCCAGTCATAACTTCTTGAAAATAACAAACACTACTCAGCTGGTGAAAACTAAGCCATTGCAAGCACAATTGGAGTATTGATCCTGAAATGTTAAAGGATGAAATGTAAAATTAGCATAGTTTTTGTTTGGTGCTAATTGATCACTAGCCCATTGTGAATACAGGTTTGGTTACGATGAGACCTTGTGGATTACTTAAGAGAAAGTATAGTTTAATAATCCATGAGTGCTACCTGGTTTTAAACTGATTTCTAAAAAATGCATAAAATACCCTGTAAGACATACAGTCTCCTCTGGGGAGAGGAGGTAGCTGCTTACTATGGCGCAGTTCTGGAATTGGTAAGGCATAGGAAGTTTGTCCTCCTGGCTAGAAAGTTGCAAAACCTGGATTATTTTCTCAGTTTGGAGACAGACTTTCTGCATGTGACTATTGGAAATTACTCCATTTCCACTTTTGTAAAACATGGATAATGATAATATTCTCCTTTAAAAAGTGCATTGTGATCTAATAGTGAGATGCAGGATTATATTTAGGGTGTGTAAGTAACAAAGATGTAAAAACATATTCTTTTTAGGCTACTCTTTATCTCTTCAGTCAAACCTGAGGGAAGGTGCTTCCTAGTACTATTTTAGGGCTTGTGAGTGAGAAGCAACCTATGTGGATTCCCTCTCTTAAAGAGGATGTCGCTATAAGCTTTTTTTTTGCTAAAAACATCTCACATGCTTCTGTGCCTTGTCTTAAGTAGAGTCATTATTCATAATTTTGTTTTGGTTTCTGCTGTGTGATAACTGTGCAGAAATACATCTCTCTGTAGTTGCCCTTGAGAGGTCATTCCAGACCATACATTTTTTGTTTTCCTATACTACACAGCTTTCTTCTTTTTCTTACTAAAAAAACACAAGTTAAACAAAACAAACAAGAAGAAAAGAAAAACTCAAAACAAAACCAAAAAAAGCCCAAAAAAACCAAACAGAAAAAAAAAAGAAAAAAAAAAGAGCAGTCTGGTATAGGATAAGAATGTGTACAGTTGTTTGAATATATGCTTAAAAAGCATTTTGAATCATCTGAGCAACATGAGGAGAGTTTGTGTTAACCTTCAGTGACAGAGTTTCAGAGAAAGCTTCCATTGCTAAATGTGAGTTGCAAAGTCAAGTCCAGCTTTAGAATTAATAGATATCATACAAATTATGCCAAATTTATGTGCCCCTGTTTGATTGCTAGTAATAATTAATGTGTTGGACTAGAGCTCACTTTTTCCAAGGAGAGGCCCTTTAATGATTGTAATTGTGTCAATTTGGATTATTAATGAGCTCAATCTGGATAAGGAAATACATTGCAAATATTCCTTACTTCAGGTTTTTTGTTTTGTTTTTTTTTTTACATCTAGCTGTTTTTGAGAGCTCCTCATATGAGCTTTATTTACTTCCATTTAAATTTCAAATCTGAATTAGTTCCATCTTAATATTACTATAGGATTTTCTCTCAATTTCCAAAGTTCTCTGAGTCCATCATCCAATTTTTTTTTGCTTTTGCATTTTGTGTAAAATTATGTTCTCCTTATTTCATGTTCCTGAATGTTGCAAAATTATTTGGAAACCTACCTCCCTAGTATTAATGTTTTGAAATGTATGACTTTGAGTATCTTATCTGGTAGGAGCAGCAAAGGATAAGTTACATGTAGTATCAGACTACAACCTGTGTATGCCCATTTTTTCAGAAAAGAAAATTACATTACTTTAATAGTACCAACATTGTTGAAAAAGTTTGAGTATCCCTCAGAGTTAGTGCTGGCTGACCTTTGGAACTCATGTTTGCTTTGGTAACTTAATTTATTCCATCCAGCTTTAAATTTTTTTGAAAGAACACATCTACAGTCATCTGGTGATAGCAGAATAAAAGTGAATATATTTGCAATTTTACTTTTGCAGGAGTTGGGCATGAATTCCCAAAGTCTTCTGTTGATAAGTCCTTTTCTAGAGGCTGGAGCCGTGACCAGCCTGGACAGGCACCCATGAGGCAGCGCAGTGCTACAACCACCGGCTCTCCAGGAACAGAAAAGGCAAGGAGCATAGTACGGCAGAAAACAGTGGGTAAGTATCTGTAAGAGCTGATAAAAGTGACATTTGAAAAACGGTAAGGAATTAATAACTGACTTCTCTAGCAATGTGAATAGCTTCTTTCCACAAAGGTGTCTATAATGATTTACACATTAGTTAAAGCATAAATTATGCAGCCTTATGTGCTTTGAGGGTAGCCGAATAGATTGTGTTTACTAGAATTACAGTTATTGCAAATGAAAGTAATGCAGTTGCTATATTAATTCTTAATTAATTTAATCACATGCTTGGAAAATAATACTATGTATATGAAGGAAAAAAAGCTGGAGTCATTTGAGCTATGGTGCTGATAGGTGGGTACGAGAAGATTTCTTAAGTGTGTGTTTTCATATACTGCACAAGGTGGGTTGAGTATTTTCATACAGTACAAAGGAAAGTAGGGAAAAATATGTGTAAGTCTGCATAGTTTATAAAATGTAGTGTCTTTTACTATACCCTGAATATTGCGATAATGAAAGATTGACAGATGTGTGCAATTTTCCATTTCTGAAGTCACCTATTTCTGAGCTTTATTACTTGCAGATACTCTTTGCTGTGTTATAAATGAGTTATACTGAACAATGCTGTAGGTGAACTCCTCACAAGGCTCGTCTGTGTTCATATGATTTTCTTAGACTATGTTAATGGGAACTGAACTACAAATTTCTTTACTCTGTTGTCTCATCATCAAGATGAGTACTATCAGTACATCAGTACTATCGCTTACATGAAGAAAAGTTAAGCTGGTTATAATTTTGTATTTAAAGAAGAACCTTTTAATGAATATCTCTTACTTTTTTGCTGTCTTTATAGTAGTAATGGCTTTGATCATTGTGTTTTGTGGCTTCACTGATACTTCTTGGAAGTAGGTACATTCTGACAGTTTTAAAAATTTGGGATGCATATATATATATATATGCATATATATATATATGCATATATATATATATAGGAATATATAATTGTGCTAGCTTTTCAGAAATTAACATTTTCTTTCTTTTCCAAAAATATTTGAAGTTAATTTTTTAAGTCACAGAGGTTATTTAGAAAAAGTGTCTGCTTGACTATTCCTCAAAATTATCCATTTAAAATTTTTTTCTATCCTAAGGCTCTTACGTGGGAGAATTGATTGTCTGTAAGGCATACAGAAATGAGAGAAAATGAAGTCCCTACTCCAAAATTTCCTGTCATTTTTTGCACATTCAAATGCTACACAGCTTTTCCTGTATCTCATGCTGACAGCACCTAGTTTTCCTCATGGATCACAGATACTTAAAATATAATTTCTGCTTCTCTGTAGTCTGTGATTAAGTGTAATGGTGATTTTCTTTTAAATCTTAATCGTCTTAACAAGATAAAGCTCATGGTGAAATTTCTCCCTTCACAAATTGTTAATATTTCAGCTATTCTGTCAGAAGGTTATGTTGTTTGGTCAATTTATTAATGCTTTTGTTTTGCTGCAATTTGAAAGATGGCTATTTATATGATGTTAGCCTTGAAATGACTGGAATTTATCCTAATCAAGCTATATATTGACCTCGTTAGCAGCAAAGTAATCTGATTTTAGTTTCACTGCACTTTAGCTTCCATGGTTTTGTTCCTTTCCTCCAATTATCTTACATATTTGATATTATTAAACCAAGTTTGCATTACTGCAACCAGTTAAAATTTCAACTCTATTCGTGTTGCAGAATACCAACTGTGGACAAGTATCCCAGCATTGCTAGAATGATTTTAAAAGATGATAAATCCAAAAAGAGTTGCCGGAACCAGAATCCCAAACTCCTCAGTTTTTTTAGATATTAATGAGGAAAATGTTACCAAATGTTACATATATCGTAACTGCCTGAAAATAGTTGTTTGTTACTGTCTCTCTGGTCTGCCAAGAGAGATGTTCATCTACTTCTTAATCTGTGCCATAAATTCAGGGTCAAATAATAAAAAAATAATCACAATAAATAAAATCTAGAACACTTTGCTGGTCAGATCTTCTTCAGTTTATCATTAGGTTTGCAAGCTAAGTCTGGAATTGAGTCAGACCTTAAATATGTTCCATGATATGTGATTTGTATTGCATTCTTGTTGATTGTGAGTAATATATACTCTTAATCTCTGAGTAGGGGGGATGTGCATGTTGAATATTTACGGTAAGAAAAAGCTGGAGTTTCTTTTTCATCTATTTTATGTTGTACACATTTTTGTGTACATCTTTGCACCTCTTTTTTGGGCCATCATCATGCCAGCACACATTTATTGCTGCACCAAATATGTGTGTGTGCCTGTTACTCAAATAAAAATCAATGCTGTTTTGATATGCAATGTGTACATTTTTAGCTTGAACTTATTTAAAATTATTTTTGGAAAGGGTCTTTAAGCATAGTATGCATATAGGTTGAAAAATCTGTAAGGTTAGATACCGGAGTTTTGGCTTAGGCAGCAGGTTCTAGTCCTATAAAAATATCATGTCAGAAAGAATTTACTTAACTGTTTTTCTGCTTTTTTGTAGACAATAGTGGAAGGTTATAAACTATTAAATATCTACATGTTCTGATATTGTCTGCCTCCACCTAACTATTTAATTGAATGCAATATGGTGGAAAAAAATCCTGTCAAATTAAAAGGAACACTTTAAGTTAAAATTTGTAATCAACACAGAATCCAATATTAAAAGCTTGATTTGTTTAGAATAATTTAGCCTGGAAAAGATCCTTAATATTTACTGTATGTTTTTTATTTTTTCTCTTGCCTACATTCATTGTAGGATTCTCAGTGGTGAATGTAATGCATCTAACTATAATTATATCCTGAATTTTGTTATTGTATCTCTTAATCAAACTGATACTAAAGCCTTACACATAGTCATCTTTTTTAAAGAAATAGTTTCTGTTGTACAAAGCTTACTAGAGCATTGCTTCAGTCTTAAAAGCTCTGTCTTTCAAACTGTTTTTTCAAACTAAATTTAAGACTCAACTTAAGTTGTGCTGCATTTGTCAAATGTATTTTCTGCTCAATGTGACCTACCCAGGTTATCTGCCTGTTGTTATTGGCAGCAATTCTTTAACCTGGTTTCAAAGTGTGATGTGCTCAACTTTCACTGCACTGCAGTCATGTACATTTGATTCCCATGCAGATCAGGAGCACTAAGGTCCTAAGTCTATATTCCACGTTGTTTTGAAAATATAGATGTAGAGAGAAAAGTTCAGACTGATTAAGTATTGTACTGAAAATATTTATGCTAGATACTCTGAATTTTCCTTAAAGATTTTTTTCTGCAATAATTTAAAAACAAGTTATTAAATTTACAACAATATGAAAGTAAGTTACTTGAAGCAATGGATATTACTTTTTTAAGAACTTCCAGAGTACTTTGAGGTTGAATGCTGTATCAGTTCTTCTGTGTCTTACTCTGAAAAAGAAAAGCAAATGTCAAAGATTCTTAGATACATTTTGTATTCTGTAGGACTGTTGGCAGAATGTGAGATATGAAAAGGTGAATAAACATCAGGTTGGCAGAATTTATCCAGTATCAATTAAAAGCCAGACCCTATAAAAAAATTTAATGCTTTTCATTGTTAAAACATTTCACTTCAGTCATTTCATTTTTAATGTGGAACTACAGCAAGCTTTATTGCAAATTTCTCCACACAAAACCGATCATTTTCTCCTTATGATTTTGAATCTCTTTTGGAGAACTTGAGTTCAAGAGTATGAGTATATGTATAATACAGAGATGCATTTTCAGGATAAAATCAAAGGAAGCTAGAAAAATACAAATGTAGTACAAGTTACTTTTTCTGTTAAAAACAATCAAATTCAGAGTGCTTGTGGAGTAACTTTAACTTTGATTTTTCAACCCCTGATGCAGTGGGAAAAATGTGTTAATTAGCTTCTTGATTTCAAATGCAAAATCTCTGTAATTGTCATAATAAAGGCATTGTTGCTGCTTTACATAAAAGTTGAAAATTCAGAATGTCTTATGTGTCCACTGATTTTTTTCTTTCTTACAGCTCTGCCAATATCTGCCGTGCTGAAATGTTTTAATTTTTGAACTTTCTTCCTTTTTATCTTTGTTTTCTCTGTTGCTGCTTTTTCTGTGACACAAGCCTTTCATTATAGTCACTCTTCTTTTTTCCTTCCCCACTTCTTTCTTTTCCTTTTTAAAGCCATGAGAAGCCGATCCATTGGTGAATGTGCTCTGCCATCGGCCTATATACGCAGTGCTAAAAGTGCTCCTGTTCTGATCCATACTTCCAAACCCTTCTTGCCTGATATTGTTCTCACTCCCCTTTCTGATGAGCTTTCAGGTAGTGCCACCTCTGCTAATTTCTGCACCCCCTTTATCACTTTTTTAAACCTTCTGCTTTCAAATTCTGCTAAACCATTAAATTTTTCAAAGTAAAAACACTTTGGGGATGGTGGGAGAGGGGAAGAGATTAAGAATTAATATTTTGAGTTTTGTAAGATACCATGCTACTTTACAATTCATTCTGGAACTGTTAGAAGTTAGTGCTGTGCCAATGTTGACTATCATAAAAGAGAAAATTTGAGAATTCTTTTCGCTTTTCCAATTTATTGGTAAGCAGCAATATGGTATCTGTCTACCAGAGAGTACAACTAATCTAAAATTTTTATTTTTGATGAGTGAGGGAGGGAAAGGAAGAATTTAATTTTACTTTAATTTGCCATTTACATCTTTCTGTGTAAATTTTTTTAATTCAGTGTCACAGATGTTGTGTGAACAACCATGATGATACACTTTAGCTCCCATGAAAACATAATATGGTATCATATAATATCCTTTAGAGTATGCTTGTTTTTCATTACTATATAAAAACATGAAAAAATCTGTAGTGTGGAATTCTCAAGTGTGATGTTTTGGTGTTATTTTCCAAATGATCAATTTTTTAGGATTGTGATTTTCGTCAACATTTTGTTTGGTCATGCAGGATGGTTGGCTACAAGTTGGACAGTAGCTTACTTTGGATACTTGTCTTTGAACAAATAGATTCAAGAATTAGCACAGACTTTTAAAATACATGTTTTCAGATAATGTAATTTTTCCAGATATTACATAGATATAAATTTGTAATGTGTTAAGGCTGACAATCATGTTATGCCTTTGTATTAATGAGTGGAAAAAAAAAGTGAAAGCACAGTGGGAGGACTATATATAGTCAAAATGGCATAAAAATATAAGGACTTTATGACAATAATATTTTTATGATTTTTTTTCTTTTCTGTCTCTTTTTCCCATCTTTGTTACCCAAGAAACACCAAGAACTGTATCTTCATAATCGTATTTTGTCATGTGTCACATGTCACAAAATTCTTGTTGTGAAACAAAAACTTGATGCCTTAGTATTCAGCCTGAAAACATTATTGAAAAATCAGGAAAGTTCAACTAACCCACTCTAAAGAGACCAGACTTTCACAATGAACAATTACAAAGTATTTGAATACAATTCTTGACACCATAAACAAAATTTAATAAAATACAAATTATATGTAATAAATAATAAAAGTATGCATGCAAAGAGTATCTCTTCTGATACAAATCATTATAACTTAAAAGATAGAGATTTAATAGGAATGATACATAATCAACCTATTAGAAAATGTGCCCTACCTGGCCATAGCTTTGTTGGATGTAGTCAGTGCTTAATGAAGACCTTAAGAACGCCTGCAGGAGGGTTATGAGCTTTCATAGTGAAATATTATTTCATCACATAATCACTGATACTTAATTACCCTTTCTTAAAACAAAGCAAAAGTGCTTTTCTGAAAAGTCCTGGCTTGCATATAACTTCTAATGTGTCCCAGACCTGCTGGCTCTCTTGCTATTATTCTTTATGTTGACACTCATCCAATTCAAAAACTGCATGACCAATGTAATTATAAAAGTAAAGTGACGTTACAGACCTTCGCACTTCTGGCTTAGAAAAAGTCCTAAGCCCTTCCTGGCTTTGATGTTTTCTCAAACAAATGAGTGTTGCAGCGGCTTCATGATGTGCCCAAGAATCTTGAACATTGCCAGAAAACGAAAAAGCTCTAGTGAAAAAAAGCAAGCTATTAGAGTGTTGATGGGGAAGTATTAGAGAAAGGGAAACACTGTCCACTGGATCAGAGTGCACTTTGCTCTTTTAATTTTCTGCATTTTTAATTGTGCTCTCTTTCTTCCTCCCTTTTTATTTAAACATAAAGCTTTATCATTTTCCTTGCCTTTTCTTCTTACATTAAGAATATTATTTTCTGAAAGCCTTCTGTTTCCAGATGCACAGCATGTAATTTGGGAAGGAATCAAATTATTTCTATCATAAGTGTGTTCTAGGTAATGAATGATGTTTTGCTAGTTGTGACAGCTGTTCATCATATTACAGGATTATATTAATATCCCTGTTATCCAAAATTACTTTACAATCCAGCACAGCTTGAGGGAGAGGACATTTCAAATTATTCTAGAATAATAGACTGCCTAATATGAAGTTTTTGGAAGTAGTCTTCAGCTTCTTTTTAGCTGTGAAACTCATCATTGGAAGGTAGACCCACTGGTGAATCTGGACAGGTAGTCTGACAGAAAGTGTTCAATGACCAAACTTTTACCTTATGTACTGTATATTAATTTTCAAATGTAAGGCAGAAAACCTGATTATACTTTGTGAGACACAATTTAATGAACAATCACTAGGCTGATAAAATATATTACAGAAATTCAATATTGACATCCAGCCATCTAGCATTATAGATGATATGTGGAAATCAGGTGCCCTGGGTTTCCACAAGGATGCTTTTCCTAGGATTGTAATTACTTCTTGTAGTTTTGGTTATGCTGTATTTCCATGTGCAGAATATTTGCAGTTTTTCAAGTAGTATCTAGAAAGTGGAAATTATTTATGCTTTAAGATCTTCAGTTAATAAAGTGATTTGATATAGTATATCTGTTGCAAATCTTCAATATTTCTAGAAAGAATTTTCCTTTAGCCTGTCAGAATAATGGGAAATCCAGTTTTACACATTTACAAGATAACTAGTGAAATGACCATTCATTCTGTAACCCTTGAGGATTTTCAGATACAAGACCTGAAATAAAGTGTCAATGAGATGTAGGGAGGATTCCTAGAAGCACTAGGAAAACTAATTAATTACGGGTGGGAGATTTTTCCTTATCTACTAGGACTAAAAGAGTCAAGCATTAATGTGAAAGGGAGATGCATATTATGCCTTTACAACCTTACTCCCAAATCATTAAGTAATCATTAGGATGAAATATAAAGAAATCATCGTTGTAAGGTCAGTATGACTGTAATTATTCACGGGAACTCACAGAATGCCTGTGTTCTCTTAAAAAAAACCCCAACTATTGAAAGTTCAGAAGCAAAGCATGTTATTTTTTCTCCACTTCCCAAACAGTCTTTGCATTATGAAATATAAACCTGCCCCAATGCAGGGATCTCCTATTAGCACTCATGCTGTCTTGTCAGAATGTGTCTCTCCATGAGTTTGTATTTTAGCATATCTATCTCACACTCGATGCTGAAAAGCTGCCTTCTCTTTCTGCCTTCTCTTAGCAAAAGGAGAGGCAAGGTTGATTTAGAACAGTAGTGATTGTGTGAGGTTGCCCAGATGTACCAATTACAATCTTTTCCTTACTGTACCATGTGAGGAATCAGGGCAGTGTTTCTCCTAAGGGTGCTCAGGGTCATATACACAGGGTCAGCCTGCTGGCACACAAACTCCTTGGGAGTTTTGGGTGTTCTCTGACTGTACACCTGGGTGTAAGGGTGATCTCTGATTGTGAAGGAGCAGTTCATTTGGGTTTTTAAATATTGTCTGTGTTTTCAGTGCTGGTATCGCAATAGCATTTTTCATTTCCTCAGTTTCTTCCTGTTCTACAAAAAAGAAATCTCTATTGGTGCAAACACATGTTTGTTTGAAGATGTGTACTTGTATGTGCTTGTCATGAATATGTGAGCACCTAAAATTAATTCTGGATCAACATTGAAATGAATCTAGCTGAATTTATTTCAATGTGTGGAGCTGCTTTGTGTGCATTGTGATTCTCTGTCCAATTATTTTTAACATCCTAGAAGGTCATGATCACTGCATGCATGCACAGCATGGGATTTCTAGGCTGCTGCTTCAGATGAAGTTGAGTTTATAATAGATTTGGAATATGCATACTGAGGGGTTAAGATGAGATCACTGTATCATAGTTGCATGTATTAATCTCATATATGTAATTGTGAATACTTTTGACTGAATCCTGTGGTCCCTTCTTTACAGCTGTAAGAAATGGCTTGAGACTACATTAGCATAACCTCTGTTAATCTCTAAGTCAATAGGGAGTTTGAAATAACAGTTCCAACTACAGAGAGACGTGATTAATTTCAGAGGATGTTAATTCATATAGTTAGTAATAAGGTGAACAAGAACAATGATGGGAAATTTGTTTCTTATCAAAGCTGAAGAGAAAAGGAATAATAGATTGTGTTGTATTCAATGATTTTTCAGTTCATGTTTATTTTCTGAGATAGCTTGGATGTCTGTTCTCTTTTTCCAGTATAGATCTTTCAATTTCCTGTCTAATACCTTTTTTACAGTTCAGTAAACTTTGTATGAGGTCAAACTGTTACTCTCAATTTTTAACTTCTTTGAAAAATTGAGCATGGATATAGCACTTTTTATCTTTTTGGAAGACATGTTTAGTTAAGTATAGACATAACTCATTCATCTGTTTTATATGCTTTGTTCAGAAGGAGAATACGAGAAGATGCAGCTCCATCTCTAACATTCTCAGAAAAGTATGAGCAGCTCAAAACAGATTTTAAGGGGACATCAGATTATCAATATTCAATATTACTGAAATATATATAGATAAATTAAGTAATAATTTTAAATATTTAGTGATATTTATATATAATATTTAGTAATTATAGAAATACTTTAAAATGTTATTACACACATAAGTTACTTTATTTTAGCTGTAATACATCAAATTTAGGGTAGGGAAATGGGCTTAAATGTTGTTCTGATATTAAGTAAATTCACCATTGCAGTCCTGAAGTTAAATCATCTAGATAAAACAACAAGGTAAGTCTGTTTATTGTGGCAAATAACTCTTGCTGGTGTTCATTTAAGCTATTTACTGTTATTCCTGGATTTGAAAGCATGTCTACAACTTTTTAAGTAGTAGGTAATAAAAGATTAATCTAGGGAATAAAGGATTCTATCAAAAAGAAACCAACAGGAAATGGAGTTAACTGATTTTACCTTGCTGTTTTAGTGCTTATCTCATAAAAGGACTGGAAAGGATAGCAGTTAGTTTACTCGTCTGCAAAGGACATTTAGTCTTGCCTACAGTGGTAATTTGATAGTATACAGTAGTATTCCTATGTTATAGAAATAACATAGTAGGAAATCTGAAGAGATGCATGAAGGTTTTTTATTTTTGTGGATGATGTGAAATGAGCTGAAGATACTTCTGTACAATTCCCAGGTGATCCATGTTGGAACTGCAGGTTTCATTACAGTTAACTATGATTTTTACTGACACTAACATATTAAGAGTCTCAGCAGAAGCGAGGAATCACTAATTTAAATGGTAATAACAAATTATGAACTTTTCATAAACAAAAGTGGGATTACTCTAATGTTAACTGTTGTAAGGCTGCTGGATGTTTTTTGGTATCAGAGTACTTAATTCTGTAATTCTCATAAATGTTACATTTGCCGGAGTAAAACTGGAAGAAGAGGGGGAGGTAAGCCTTCATTAAGTATTTAGTTTCGTATTTTGAAGATGAGAGACAAAACATTCTTCTGGGGGAAAAGGGTATATCTTTAAATTGTCTGTTATGTATAGTCATATTTTTTGTATAGGGCCAGCTCTTCCTTGTCATTTAAAAGCTTTAGTCCTTAGGTGTACACTATATTACATATCCCAAACTACTTATAATCATGTCATAGGAGTATTTCAGAAATCTCAGTAATTTATATATATACAAATATACATATTTTAATTAATGATTTGCCACTTTAACAATCAACCCCAGTTTTCCAAAAAACATCCTTGTTCTCTTTGGAGTTGCCAATTTTTCTAAAGATATAAATTCCACAAAGGGAGTACTGCTATTGAGCTAATTTGTATTCCAATAACCATTTCCTGAACAAGCTAGCTGGAATAATATTGGTTGAATTATTGAACTTATTGGCACAGCTCTAGCTTTAACTGTATTTCCAAATGTTCCATGACCTCACTTTTGTTCTCATGCATGTTAACATTTAAAACTGTGTTCTGGTGGTCTAACTCATTTATATTGCATCCTGTACTGGATATTATGTCTGTGTGTTTTTAACACTCTAGTATTGGAAAAAGTGTTTTTGTTATACTTAAGAACACAAGGTTCTGAATTTTTCTGGCTTTTAAAGTCACATCATTAGGATGTAGTGGTAAATATAGATTGTCTCTGTATATAAATTTTTGTGCATATTACATCTACTTTTTTCCTACAGACATTGACGATGCTCAAATTCTTCCACGTCCACCTCGAGTCAGACATTTTTCTCAGAGTGAGGATGCTCCAAGTGAAGTTTTTGGTGCATTAAATGAAGAACAGCCACTGCCACGAAGCAGCAGCACCTCTGACATCCTGGAACCATTCGCAGTTGAACGAGCCAAAGGTGCAGTTCCTGTCATTGACAGTTCATCCCATCATGCTCCAAGCTTACAGAATTCCACTGAGACCTCTTCAATGCATAGATCCACTGAAAGCCATATCACTGATACAAATAGCAGAGAGTCCTCCTTGGAAGTTGGGGATAGTATTTATGACCATCTTTGTCATTTAATAGGGCCGGTAGAATTTGCAAACACTGCCTTTGAACAAAGCCAATATGTTGACCTTGAAGGTGAAGATGATCTCCTTTCCTCTCTGAGAGAATATCTTATTAAAGAAAAAGAAGAACTTTGCGGTAACTTTGAGATAGATAAATATGAGGCTTCTGCTCATGAAGTTGATACATCAGTAAGTAGGAACAATAGATTACCACTGGATGAATTAGAAAATAGAGATCAGACTGGTCAATGCACGACTAGCAACACTGTTGCAGAAAGAGCCAATAACACAGAGCTGCAACTAGAACAAAAGCCAAGTGGCTTTATAAGCAATACTGCACCTACTCAAGTAGACTTTTTTACAAGAAATCAAGTACTCAATAAAGCCAGACAGTTAGATATTGATAAACAATATGAAAGCATGTTTGATCATGGGTCAAGTAGTCCTAGCAGCAAAGAAGGGAAGAGATATCTGTACAGGCAAGCAGCCACTGAAACTGATGTAGATTTAGTTGTGGAAGCACCGGTAGCTGAAAAGCATAAAAGTGCCCAGTTTAATGAAAAAGTGACCAACTCACGTATTGTCCATGCAAAGAAAATTCTTCCTAAAGCACAAGTTGATCCTCAAATGCCTCAAATCACAGGCACAAGCAAACTGGCGCCAACTAAAAGAAGTATATCTGAAACTGTAACTCATAGGGCCAAAATCATGAAAATAACAGCTAAAAAAAGGAACAGTGTTCATGTTACTTTTAGGCCATCTACAGAATCGGTTCAGTTTTACAATCCTCTTGAGAACAAAGAGGCTGCTTGGAAAGCAAGACTTCGTAAACTTGGTGGCTTCAGCAGTAGCAGTAGTGGTAGCAGCAACAGCAGTACCAGTGCAAGCAGTAGCTCATCAGCTGCCACAGAGCTGGTTAGACCTGGAATATATAGGCATTTAGATGCAGTCAATGCTGCTTCGGCTGGCAGCAGGCAAGTTAAGGAATCTACAGAAACTCAAGCAACTGTGTTGCAGAAAGAAGGTCTTGCTGTTAGTCAGTTCCAATGTCGTAGTGTCTTTAGAGCATCAGGTCAGGAGTCGGCACAACAGCAGGGCTCCCTGGGTGGTGTTTATAAAACTGTTGTACATGCTCTTTCGAAGCCGAAGGCAAATGTTTCCCCACAGAGGCAGAACAGAATGCCAGCAGAGGCTCCACTGAGGGATCTGTACAGTCATGTAATGGGCTATTTTGGAAGGAAAGCTGCAGGTGAGCACTAACAGTGTGCAGAGCGCAAAAGGAGAAAGGCAGCACCAGTTTGGCTTAATGCAACTGAAGCAAGCTCTGATAAGCAATCAAAAGGCTTTGGGATGATCACTGCTTTCCCTGTTTGGTTATGCATGCGCCTATAGCCAGCTGATTTTTCTCCCAGCATAAGTTATGTTTACATACTTTAAATTACTAATTTTTCTTTTCAAGATACTTAGTTGAACCTCTTTTCTGCTGAAGATCATCAGATTAGGGAAGAGGAAGAGACAGTAAATGACCTAATAAAGGATTAAGCCTTGAGACTTTTGAATTTTCATCTACATTGCAGTGCCTTCAGATTAAGCCTACTGAATGATTGGCAATGCATATTTTATCCAAATGTGTTACTCCACTCTGAGTGTAGTTTTTTTGTCAGAAGGACCTGGCTCCCAACCAACTAGGTTGAACTAATTGTATTTCTGGTTCATTTAGTGTGTTTTCTTCTTCCTCCTCATCCTCTTCCTCCTTTTCCTCCTCCAAAACAAAACCATAAAAGAGCCCCTCAAATTTACATTTGGAGGTCATTTTAGATAGTTTTAAAAAACTAGTCTGAAATAGCAATCTGCTATTACTGGAATGATTTCATTACAACAATTCTCTGAGCATAATCACAAGGTTTTGTTTGAGTCTGTTTCAAAACATGTTGTAGGCCTTCCTATATTCATTCATCCAAATGGCTGCAGTTGAATCTTGGCAACATCTTCCATTACTTTCTTTTTTTCTTGGAATCTTGGATGTTTGTGAAGGTCTTGTGATAGTCTTTTGCCTGCTAACTATGAGACCTCTGTGGACTGATCAAAAAAGAAGGCTGCAACTCTAATATACATTAGAGTTCACATAACTGTAAATGAACAGTAAATTAACTTTCATCAGTAATGCAGGTTTTCTTTTTTTCTCATTGTTATGCTGGCATGATTAACAGAGGATTCTGCAATGCATCTTGCATCAAGATGTTAATGCCACCTGAGGGCAGTGTCTGTAAGCACAGCACCTGAGAACAGTACTGTCACGGGTCTCACAAAAATGATTTGCTGCTCTTCAGAAAGTAGACTCCTGAAAGAGACATATTTAAGAAGCACCAATTTTAGAAGTACCTGTTACTTAAATTCCAACATTTAACAGAAACTCATTGTTAAAATAAACTGCACTGTGGTCTCATGAGAGATGACACTGAGGGAAAAATGTGCATAAAGAGAACATGAGCTGGAATAACTTGAAGATTTTAAAGGCTAATATCATAAAGTCAGGTGTAAAAGCCACACCTAAATATGAGCAGCATAGTTATATCCAAAAATATAACACTGATAACAGAATGAACTTCATTAATTGTTCATAACCATTGATCATCTAGAGTTAGAACTTTCATTCCATGTGCTAGCATGTAATTTTATTATATAACATTTTCTTTGCACTATTAATACTAACTGTATACAGTGCCACATTGCCATTTGTCATTAGTGTCTATTACAATCTAGTTTACTTTTTCCACTACATTGCTTTTCATTAGGAATGCAATGAAGAAGGAGCCTGAAGGAATCACATAATTTTTTTAGAATTTACTTGTGATACGGAGGAAGAATATATGCTTTATCCTTAAAACAAGCATTAACAACTTTGAGTAGTGCTTACCTATAAGCTTCCTGCTCTTAAAGGTGGAATTGGAAATCAACTAACACCTGCTAAGTGGGAAGAAGAAGCCATACTAATTTTCAAAGTAGAATCTGCTTTAAAAGAGGGACATTCTTAAAATGCATGTTTGGCAATTTTGATTTTTAAATTTCTTTTAATTAGCAGGTTTTTTTCATTTGTTACATTTTGTTTTGAAAATGTCTTGATGCCTTCTTTACTATAAATGGTTGTTCATTTGCTTTTAGCAAATAGAGAGGACATGAGTCAAAAGCTGCACCCTATTGATAGTGATATTGGCAGTAGCAATACAAATGTCCCTGACCTCATGGATGAATTTATAGCTGAGAGACTCCGCAGTGGTAATGCACTGGTAAGCCTTTAAACTTGCTACATTTCCATACTTAAGTCTCCATATATGTGTGAACTTGTCAATGGCGTGATAAATCAGTTCACTAAAAATATTTCTGTGGCTTTTATGAATCAGAATTAAGAATATTGCTTAATTATTCCATGCCTTTGGCATAGATTCTTGCCATTTTATATAATTTGTATTTTCATATCTATTGAATCTTCATCATTGAAGCAATGCAGAAGTTACTGTCACATGAATAGTCTCATTGAAATTAAACAGCCTTAATTGAACCTGCAAAGATGCCTGCCTGTACATAGACACTTTCAGAATACTAGTTTAAATATAAATTTGCAGTCCTGGGCATGGTATGTAATTGAGTAACATGCTGTAGTACAGTACTGTTCCCTACAGGTATAGTCAATGCAACTGACTACAAAACTACTCAAATATATTGATTATTTTTTATTTTTTTAATTTCACTTCCAAGTGTTGAATAATTTCTTGTAAATCAATTCTAATCAAATCAACTTTCTGTTTGCTTTCTTCCTACACTTTTCCAAAAGCATCATGTTATTTGGAATGGCATTCATAAGAAGTTTTAATCAATTTTAAATTAAGAATTTCTGGTTACTGTTGAATGCTTACAACTGATTTGAAGAGATAAGTGCTTATTAAGTAGTAACTAAAGGGAAAATACTAAAAAAAAAGTTGCAAATTAAGAACAGAATGGGTAGCAATTTAAATATAGTGTTTCAAAATTGTTTAGTTCCTTTTTCTTTAAAGTCTTCAAGGTCATTTGAAGACACACTCCTGTAAGACATACTCCTATGGAAAATTGTCAGGAGAGAAGTTGGTGATAATAAGGGACAGAAGAAGATTCTTCAAAGTTATTAAAATTTGTTTATTTATCATCGCCTTTTATAAATGGCAAGAGAGGATCTATGGAGTTTGTCCCTATGTATTGAACTCTCTTTGTATTGAACTCATGTTTATGAAACTTGATTGTTGGCACAAAGTATTCTTGTTAGTAAGTCCTGAGTTACACAACAAAATGCTAACATGTAGACTATGAAAAAGGTTAACTTAGTTGAAAATTAATAAACCAGAAATCATCACAGCTGGTTCCAGAAGAGATATAGGAAGGAGTATTGATACTTCCCTCAGGTAGCAGAAAAGTTCTGAGATAAGTGTGAGTAAACACTGAAACCACCAAAACTACCACTCATTCTTTTCACTTAGCACACAGCAGACATGCCTCTTTAAAACACTGCCAACTTACTAAGATTAGTTTTAGATTGCTGTATCTATTGAATGCTAAAACCATATCACGCAAAGTTTGTTAGTCTGAGTTAACCTAAAATTAGTGTTAGAGTAGTAAAAGAATGCAGAAGTGACTGGGCCTGGTGAAAGGAAGGCATCTTTAGTCTCACAATGTATACAAATTTCTAGCCATTTCATAAAATGGCATTTCTACTTTGCTATCTCTTCCCTCTCAAGCAAACAGATCTATCTGTGGAAAAAAATGCCTTAAAGAAAGAATTCAAATAGGCCACCACCTTACTTGTAAATGAGCAAATCTGCATGCCTTACTTCTGTTATGTGTGGTCTTTTGTGTTCCAAATCAGTACTGAAATGGTGTTTTAGTCATAAGAAGATTAATGTATGAATTATTAAATTAATTTGCTCCTTCTGTAAATCATGTTTCTGATTATAGTTTGGTTGTCTATAGACCATTGTGTCTGAAACCAAGGTTAACAAGTTTTCTTAGTGATATACTTTTTAACTATTTTTCTCTCTCATGTCTTACCTACCATGTGGCCCATGCTACTCTGAATCCTAGCCTTTTAAGATACGCATCCAAAAATCCACTGTGCAAATAAAATTTGTATTTATGAAGTTCTGTGACTGCATGTGTTCTTCATTTGGGGGGTTTGGAAAGTCTTGGTATTTAGAATGATGGCAATTTCTGGTTTAGGTACTGTTTGTTACATTTTGATTTCACCAAATGTGGGATTGCTTTTTCCATTTCATGTAAACAAGCCATCCAGGATTTTAAGATTATTTATGTATCTTCAATGTTTAGAATGTGACAAGAAGAGGAAGCAGCCCTGGCAGCCTGGAAGTTCCTAAAGACCTTCCTGATATACTGAACAAGCAGAACCAAATGCGTCCTGCGGATGACCCAGGCGTGCCTTCCGAGTGGACATCGCCCGCCAGCGCGGGCAGCAGTGACCTCATCAGCTCAGACAGCCACTCCGACTCCTTCAGCGCCTTCCAGTATGAGAGCCGCAAATTTGAAAGCAAGTACATTTTTCCAAAAGTAACAGCATTTTTGATTTATGTAGTGCAAATTTCCTTTGTTTCATTTGTTGTTGTTTTTCCACCCCCCCCAGATAAAGTTGTATGCCAGCAGTTTTCTGTAGAGAGAAATTATTTTGATTTTCCACTGAAATCAGTAGCAAGCTAATGAAACAAGAAAGGTTCTTACAAGAGGCTGTTGTTTCTTTAGTTATACCAAAAGAAAAGAACACTGGAGTACTACTTCACAAAGAGGAGAAAGTAATTGAACAGAAGTTAGAAAGCAATATTGTCTCCTCTGTGAAGCATGTCTATCTGTTTTGCACAAAACATAAAAATTAAACCTTATTTATTTTGGAAATTATTTTAATACTTTTGAAAGTAATTAGGTAAAATTTAAAGAAAGGCTTCTGTTATTTTACAGTGATCTTTGTGTAGCTATAGATTAATCAAGATATTAAGTGTAATATCATGATCAAGATATTAAGTGTAATATCATGATACAATTGGTGTGCTTTGTTAAAATTAGTGTGCTTTGCTTAATAACATAATGCTTTTCATTCATTTTATTTATCCCCACCTTTGTTTAACAAAAGGGGTCATTATGGCTGCTAGGAATTATGACATCATTTAAGATTAAAATAATATTTACGTAGTAGAATTTTTGGAAGAAATTACAATTTTTATATATGTTTCCATTATGCAAACAGTCATGGCATTTAAAGTCTATATGTCAGCCTAGCATTTTTTTCATTAGTAATGAGAATAACATTTGTTAGAGTATCATTTGCTGTAAAAGTTTTAGTTTGAAGTTAGTGCTTTTACAATAAGCTTGAATATTTCTTCCAGCTTGTAAATTTTACAAATAAATTCCTTAGTGTATGATTCCATTATTTTGTGTTATTTAGATGTACATGCACTTAAAGCAGCTAATCAGAATATAGACATGTAACAAGAATGTCTTCTGTAGACATCAAGTCAAGGGTTTATGACAGGAAAGAGAATCTTCATAATAGTTAATACTTCCTGCTGTTGTATTTTATTTAAATTTTGCAACAGTATGCTAGTAGCATAGAATATGCACATTCAAGGTTTCTGTTTAGTTTGGAGGTCCTGGGGCTCTGGGGTTTTTTCATATTAGTGGTATTTTTATGCTGTAAGTTAATACAGTGCTTTCCTCGTACAGATTTCAGCTTTGGCACTGAGGCAGGGACGCCAGCTTCTACTGACATTGATGCAATTTCAGGACAGCAACAAAGTGCTGAGGAACAAGAAGTGGCCAGTCTAACTACACTCCACATAGATTCAGAAACAAGTAGTCTTAATCAGCAACCATTGTCTGCTGAAGCTGCAACTATTACTGGTAAAGTAGATTTTTTAAAAAAAGTATTTATTTCTGAAATTTTTCACCCATCCTGAAGAATGCAACTTCCAGCTTCTGCTATTCTATTTAAGATGATTCCTTATTTCAATTATTTTTTAATTGCTATTTAATATGTGAAATAACATAAGTGGAAAACCTTTGTCTGACTTAGTTATCTATGGTCCTAAATGTATTTTAAGCCCTTCATGAGAAAATCTATACAATTACCAAGGAGAGACTCTTACAACATAATGTATGCTAGATCTCTTACAAATGTCCTTCTATTACTGGTAGTTAAATACTTTATTCTCATAAATTGTTTTTGCTTTGGAAGGTTTTTACAGTGCTCCTTCAAACTAGTGTATAATATTGAAGTATCTTGGGATTCTTTTATATGCATACATCTTAATATCTCTTTACATTGTCTGTTGTGTAACTGAGAGGTTTTATCATACAAAATGTTAGTTATTTGGCCATGTAACATTACTTTGCGTTTGTATAACTGGAAAGTGATGCAGTTAACCAAAATTGAATGGGCTCCTGTGTGAAAGAGAAAATACTTCTCTATGAGGATGATCTGAAAGAATGGTGTCTTACCAGATTTTGTACATGAGAAGTAAAGATGCCCATAGTCATTTTCATACTCCTTGTTCCATAGCTGTTATACACTACCATTCCTGTTACAACCCTAGTTGTAACAAGTATCAAGTTGCAGTTATTATCTATATTTCTACGAAAGCTTATACCTACATATTGTGTCTTGCTCTCTGTTAGAAATCAAACTACATTTTCAGAGATATGGAAAGACATCTTTACTTCCTCTGCCATAATTTTCACTTTTTAAAAGTGCCCTTCTGCTGAAAGAACCATTAGCTTTCATGGACATTGTTGTTCAGCTTGTTCCACAATGTTCAGCTTGACTTGTGTTTGACTTCTATTTGCTGTGTGCTTGTTGAAAGTCCTTGCTGTAGATCTGTTCTTTTTCTGTTTGTTTGTATGTTTGAATATGTTAATAACTTCATTAGTATTTGGTATTTTTGTCCAAGTGTGCACTATAATTGAATTGATAAGATTGCAATTAATGACTGAGTTTTCTGTTGAGCGATTCTGTGTTTAACTCTTCTTGCTTGAATCACTGTTTTAGAGAGGCAGCTCTTGTGTGTCACATGCATTTAGCTGGATTTCCTGAGGAAACAATGCTTGTGCATTTGTTTTGTCTATCTCTGACTGTTCCATGCACCCAATAATATTGCAGCCTATTATCTAATTTTTATTAAATTGACATATAAGAAAAAAAAAAGGATGTTATTTTCTTCAATGTTTTATGAAAGATAGGCAGCTATCTAGTGAAAATTGCATGTATGCAGACTCTCGTGATGGAAGCTGCAATGTGAATTTCACTATATTAAATGCCAGCAAATCAATTCAGAAACTCAACCTCAAAACACATTTATAATAAACAAGTTTTTAGTGGTTCTGCTGATCAGAAAGCTACTCTTCATAAATCTGAAGGGTTTTGGAAGGATAATTTGATTTTAGTATATGGGCATTACATCATATTCTAAATAAATGATGAAGTTGACATTGTCTGCTGTTTACTAGTCCTAGAACAAGTTGTACCTGTGAAAGTCTCAAAGTCAGATCCACGTATGCTGGAGTATCTTTTAATGACAGTCATGTAGTTCTGCAAAATTTCCATAATTGTTTCTGTCCATTCTCTTCCATCATATGAAGATCTCTTTCCCTCCTTCCTCTGCTTTGTCTTCCCTGCCTGCTCTTTCTTTCCATCTCATTCACTTTCTTTCCCTCTCTATCCCACTCTCTCTCAATTTCTCTCTTCCTCATCACTCTTTCTTGCTCCTTCTTTGAACTATCATCTGTCCCCAGCTAATGAGCAGGATGGAAATGAAGTAAGAAAATACTTCTTTGAACATCTTTGAAGGGTGTAATTTGGTTTATCTCTGTAAGCATGTGGAAAACTGGTGGTCAGTAAAAAGTCACGTGAGACAGCAGTCTGTGTATGAAGCAGTAGTGTCCCTCTATCCTGCCTAGAGTTGTTGATTTAAATTGATAGTGAAAGCTTCACTGTCTTATCCATTTAAAGGAGATAGAGACCTTTGCAGTTTAACAATGTAATAGAGATTGTTTTCTGCAATTTCTATTCTGATAACAGCATTTTCTGTCAAATTCTTTAAACAATTTGTTCTCTTTATAAGAAAGAACACTTCTCTCAAACGAGAAATGTTCCTCAATTATTCTCACAATAATGTGGGAAAATTACTATTTAAAAGACTCACTTTTCAATTGCTATCCTTAAAGTTCACTTTATCACTAATACCAAACTTTACACATAATATTTTTGTGTCCCTGTTGCATTTATCAAAAAATTAAAATTAATAGGAATTCTTTCGTTTTAACATGTGCTGGTGTGTAGAAAAGTCTGTTGTGAATATTCTCTTTTTGTCTGCCATGTAACTGTTCTGGCTAAACTCAGCTACTTATAAGGATCTTTAGACTAATGCAGGATGTGAAACATAAGATAGTACAGAAGAAAAATGCAACTACTTACTCCCTCTCCACGGATAACACAGTGGAGACCACATAATTGCCTAGAGAGGTTGCTCAGAGACTATCACAGGAAAATGCCTTTGTAGCGCTGTCATTGACACTTGTGATTTCCTGTTTTAAAGGAAATAACACCCCTCTAACTATACAGAACTTTCTCATCCTATGGATTTTCTCATCTCAATTAGTAGATAAACACTGAAGATTATCAGTTACTGATTTGAGCTTTTATTTATAAATTAACTTGCATGCATCTGTTACCCTGCAAAAGCATTTGTTCCAGGAAAATTTTTGCCTAAACTTTTTCTAGAGAGAAATCTAGGCGAGGGAATGTGATGAGAAATTTAGCTGGTGTAAAACACTGAAAGTGTTGCAGAACAACCACATTTAGAATTATTTGGACCTAAAATAGAGGTCTGCTAGTCCACTTACCTGTCTGATTTTGATGTTCATCTTTCAGTTTTTCTGCATGTACGTCGTTTTCTTTCAGAACACCACTCACAGGGAGATCTGCTTGCTGTTTTTTATCTTTTCTTGGCCCAATTTAATACATAAAAGCAGGTTAATTTCTGTTAACACTGTATTTAGACAACATTTCAATAGCTCAAGAAAATAGAAAAGGCTTTTAAGGTAACTGTTAAAAATTACATTTGCAGGATCTGAAAGTGCTTCTCCAATCCAATCTGCTCTTGGATCCCGATCACAGACACCCTCTCCTGCCACTCTGCATGCAGATCATATTGAGCAGAAGGATCTGCAGCTGGATGAGAAGCTCCACCACTCTGTTTTACAGACGCCAGATGACCTAGGCAATATCTGGAATAGAAAATACAAACT